GATTTGTAATCACACCATTATTTCTTTTGTCAAATCAACTTAAATAATTTATGTAGTTCAGATAACATAATTAGTTTCTGATGATTAAATCAATCACCTTCATTGTATTAACTCAATTTTTCCATTTCAATGAACTTAATTTTTTAAGGCAGCCAGGTTACTTCATTTTTTTTAAGTTAAACCAACAATATTTTTTTACAGTGTATTAACTTTACAGACAAAACGTGTTCGAGTGATGCCTTGAAATTCAATATAAAAAGTTGGTGGCGTTTCACATAAAAAACCCCATATTTTATTAATATTAATGATTTATATTTAATTTGAATTAATATTTAGTTTTGTTTGGCTAGTCCTGCCTGTCCCTAAAAGTCCATATAGGGTAGAATCAAAGAAAAAAACAAAAACGCACACAGCCACACATGCTTTAGAGGCCTATGGTTGGCAGGGCAGTGGCATTTCCGCCCCCTTACTCAACCCTGTCTCTTGGGACACAGGAAAGGAAGTGAGCCACGGAACAAACCCATCACTGCATCTCCTTCCCGGATGATTCATCCCGCTCCTCATCCCAGAATGCTCTTGCAAGGGCTCACACGCCATACCTTTCTCAGCTTTCCTAACTGACTTTAACGCAGATCAAGCCCCACTTGCCACTTGGATATAGAGTGCTGCAGGCCAGGGATGACATATTTTTGTTGGCCAAAACCCAGTAACCAGTTAGTATTGTTAGCACTTCAGGTTCATCGTCCCGAAGTCAATGGATTTTTGAATTGGTTATTGGTTAAATGCCTGAAATGGAGTCTGTGGTTTTGAACACAATATATTTTCACTTTTTATTCTATGGCATATAATACCACACCCTAGTGATTTTTAAAAATGCTTTTTTTTTGTCTTGAAAAGGGCGGTTGATAACAAGTGGCTAAATAGGTTATCAGGGACATTAAATGTCATCACCGAACTGGAAACCTAATCTACTCACTAGTCCACTTTTTACAATCTCATTGTGTTTATAATTGCGCTTTTTTAAACTCGCAGGGAAAATGTTATTTTTTTTTTAATAAAGACTATAAGAGCTTAGTGATTGTGACGCTGAAGTAATTTGACCATGGTCTTTTTATTGCCTATAGCTATTTACATCTGGTGATTATATTTAGGCTTCAAAATTCATCAATGTCATCAATTCATCAATTCATCAAGGGCGGCAGTAGCTCAGTGGTTCATGTGGGTTGTCTACAAACCGAAAGGTTGGTGGTTCAATCCTCGGTTTCAACTGACCAAGTGTCGAGGTGTCCATGAGCAAAATGTAAAGCGCTTTGCTGGCCATTAGGTCTATGAAAGCGCTATATAAAAATGCAGTCCATTCATCAATGTTGTGTTCATTTGTGAAGATTGAACCAAATGGTCATAGAGCTTTTTTCTGCAATAATCCAAAAGCTAATGGAAACATTCTATTAGGTTTTTGTTGCGTGAACCAGAGAGCTGTTTTTTGAAATTCATCTGGATTTTAATTCTGGTCTGTGCTTTTGTGCCTAAGCACTACGGGTTAAAAGAAAAAGCATGCACCGCTCAGAGGAAGAGAAAGTGTGTGTGTGTGTGTAAGAAAAAGAGAGGTTTAATGACAGCTCTCTATCTTGCATGCTGAGCCTGTCCAACATTTATGGTGCCTCTGCACCCTGATTAAACATTAAGCAAGTCTCATTATACACACCCCCTTTTGGTCACTTTTACCTTCTTTCTCACCTCCATCCTCCTGCTCTTTTATTTCCACTCTTACTCTGGCACTGGCAGATACCTCAGCCGTCCATCTTACTAGGCCATCATTGTGAATGCATGCGTGTACTAAACTTAGCAGCATAGTTGTAAATTGTGGCATGCTAATTGTGAAGCATCTTGCCGCTGATCCCTTTAAGTTTTTTTTTTTACAGTACTTTTTTTTCCAATAAATGCGCCTCGGTGAGTATAAGAAACTAATTTAAACCTGAAATAGAAAAAAATTGTATTTGCTTTTCATTGAAATATTTGGCGTTTCTTTGAAAGTGTTTGTGTAAGAAAAGATCGTGATGTTTTAGCTGTTTAGCCTCCTGACCCTCAGGAGCCCCTGGTCCGGCACGGAACGTTCCTCCGAGGCTATGCCAAAGCCCAGAAACATGATACCGCAGTGTGGCACAGACTTAGACATACGCTCTTTCTCTCTCTCTCACACACACACACACACACACACACATTCAGACAGAGGTGCGTGTCTGTGAAAGAGGTCAAGGTGAGGGGGAGCTAGAGTTACAGCTGATGTGGAGTTTCAGACTGAGTCAGTTTACAGCCAGGATCGATTTTGATAAACCCCACCGAGTCACTGGACCAAAGGGCAGAATCAGAGCCAAAGCATACCAGCCGTTAACGGGAACCCGCTGCCCAGCCGAGCGTGGCACCGCAGCCAGGGGCTGCCAGTGGGTGGTTGACTGGTCAGATGGTCATCTCAGTGGGTAGAAATACAAGGTGTGTATAAATGCGTCTCCTTGTAATTTTCCTGGAAATCAACTTTAACTAGAATCCGCTCATAAACAGTATTTATTGCAAATTGCGGGCTGCTCGCTTGCCTGTATGGTGAAACACTGCTGTTATTGACTACAGCACCATTCACAAGAAAATTGCTGGCAAAAATGGTAGGAGCAAACTAATCCTTCAGGACACTTTTGAACATGTTTATTTGTAGCCATCACCTCCCAGAAGGTATCAGAGGCTTTGCTCTGTGTGTGTTTTAGGTTAATAGTGTTGACAGAGGCAACATAGTTCAAAGTAGGAAATGTTTTCCTCTATGTATTTTTCTCTTCGTCCCTTCCTCTCATATGCCAGTAAAGGGATAGTTCACCCAAAAATTATTCATCCTCACGTCGCTCCAAAACTGTATGACATATGAAAAAAAAAGAAAAGATTTTTGTCAATTCAATGAAAGTCAGTCTTTCTTTAAAAAAATCTTCTCTGTGTTCCACAGAAGAAAGTAAGTCGTACAGGTTTGGAAGAACATGAGGGTGACTAAATCATAAAAGATTTTTCATTTTAGGGTGAACTCTCCCTTTATTCAGGTTTACATGCATGTCAAGCAGCACAGAGCGGAAACTAAAGCTGACATCAGATCCGTTTGCAGGGAAGGGCAGTGTGTATTTACTGTCCGCTGGGTGTGAAGGGTCTGAGGGCTGGCTGTGGGACAGAGCTGGTCCAGAGGGGCTGGGTGGAGCAGAACTGGGTTGGTATTTCGTGTAGACGGATTAAGCACAAAAGCACTCTGTGTCTTTGTCAGTTCTGAGAATGGCCCTCGTTTTGAATGTTATGATCTGCCTGCAGCAGTTGTGTGTGTGTGTGTGTGTTTGAATCCACTGCCAATTACTACAGAAGAGGTGCTGTTTCTAAGTGCACTTGTTCAAAGAGGTATGTGTGTGTGTGTAATGTAAGCCAAATCGGAAAAGCTCAAATGCAAAAGGGTTTGCAAAGAAACGAACAATGTTACATTTTACTGGAATGAATGAATGGATGAACATCTGCACATCATTCATTTTACTGGAAGATCCAGTTATAAACTTTTGTTGAAGAGGTCAAACGTAAATAAAAAACAATAAACAAATTGTTCACAATAAGATCAATAACATACTTTTAGATAATAGTTGAAGTGAATTTTCATTTCATTTATGCAAACCACTTATCATTTCGTATGGTCGCTGGTTTTCATTTCATGGCGACTTTGCCTTTTATTTAAAAGTTTTATGTCAGGGTTCAGGAATTGGTTACAGAAAATAACTAGATTTTAACTCTACATTTTTTTTTTGTAGCATGTTTTGTATGTAGTTGCTAGGGTGTTGTAAATGTGTATTTAGTGCGTTGTTGTGCAGTCACTAGAGTGTTTTGAGTGGTTTCAGTACGTGTCTTTGCAGTTGCTATAGTGTGCTCTGAGTCTTCTGATGGTAATTTTACCAGTTGAAAGTTGTAAGTCAACTTGGAATGGAAATAGCATACGTCTCCTCGGAAAGCTGCATAGTTTGAAATATCATATGCTAGTGTACCTAAGGGTTTGTTAAAATGCCTAAGTGTGTGTAGTTATAGTGATGCTAGCATTGTTAGCTTCATTTAAGGACAATAGAGGTCAATGGGAAGTCCAAATTTAGACTGCTAGGTAATTGTGTGTGTATGTGTGGTAGATTCAGAACGTTACAATACAGTATATCATGTAGCAAAGAGGAAGTGTGGTCAGTTTGGCACCACTTAGCTTTATATCCGCAGAGCCTTGGAGGTTTTCTCCAACCAAGGGAGAGTTTGAGTCCAGGAAATGACCTTATGTCTCACAGCACTAGACTAGGCATTTAAACAATTGTTTGACAATTACCAAACAAATTACATGAATAAATATATCATTAATTCATGATTCAAAGTTAAGACTGATGAAACACCATAAAGCCAGCTGACTGCCAATATGACCAATTGTTACATTTTTCTTTTGCTTAGTTTGCTTTGAGCCACATCAAAGTGTTTCCAGGTCATTCAGGTTGACCTTTCCTGGACCTCTGCTGCAGTCCAGAGCTCTTTTCTGGTTCCGTCTTCCTCTCTTTAATATGAGCTTTGAGATTGAGAAGGGGAAGCCAGACCTGAGGAATGCACAAAAGAATCCGGACGTCCCGTCGAGCCCTAGCCTACCATGCTGTCAGTCATCTGCGTAGGCGTCAACATATTTTGAGTCCGCGGCTCTTTTTAGCACATTTTTGAATGGCTTTGGACAACAATTAATATTTTGGTATAATACTAAACATACCATGGCAAACCAAAACTGAAGCAGCAAATCAAACCATATGATGTTTGTTGAACAGATCGAAACAGAGGAAGTGAAAGAGACTGAATGTTCTCTATGTACCGCACGCACATTCTTCTAGATTAAGAATATGTAGCAGAGTTAACTGGAAAGGAAGTGTGAGATCAATACCTGCCAGATGCCCATGTGTTCTGTCCTTTCTCCTTTACAGGGGCAACTAGAGGTCACTCTGTCTCAGCCCACTCGCACAGCCAACGGCACACCCTGGTGAGTTCAGACATTAATGATGTTTAATAGGAGTGTGTGTGTGTGTGTGTGTGCATGCGTGCACGCACATGTGTCTGTCTTGCATCTCTTTCACTTATCTGGACTGAGAGAGGTGTGAATACAAATAGATTTTTCAGTCCATACGGCACATACATACCCTCACCAAAAGCCATTGTGACAGTGAAATCAGATTGTAATACCATGGTATTTTGATATAAAAGCATAATATATTTTAATAAAATAAAGCAAAACAGTATATTGTGAAATATTTCTTGAATTTATTTTAAAGTAATTTATTCCTGTTGCGTCAAAGCTGAATTTTCAGGATCATTGCTCCGGTCTTCAGTGTCACATGATCCTTCAGAAATCATTCTAATATGCTGATTTGCTGCTCGAGAAACATTTCTTATTATTATCAGTGTTTTTGTTTGAAGAGAAGGTTGAAAAGGAAAGCATTTTTTCTTTATTATACACAGCTGGTTATACAGCCACTTATAAGATAATGGTATGTGGGCCAGCCTGACTGTGTCATAGATTTTGGGTGTGTCAGTGCAAAGAATCAAACACACAGAAAATGTTTTACAGTGCATTTAATCACTACAAATGAGCAGTTATTTTATTGTATTATCAAGATTGTGTGTGTTTGAGATTAGCTTGAAACCTTCAGCCAGACGGTGACTCAGTTTTTTTTTTTTTTTTTATATCGCGTGTAGAGGTCACTCAGTCTCATCACAGATTAGACATGCACGTCCTGCCATCCTGAGTGCATCTTTCTGTCTCGCTCAGCTGGCTGGATGTGGAATATTTTGGATTTCTGGATGTCTTGGCAGTATTCTTGAGTAAACCGTATTATTTTTAGCAGAGGTCAGAACAACTCACTCCATCATACTGTCCTCCACCATATCTGAAAGAATGTATTGTCTTTGTATCTGTCTCTTGGTTTATTTCCTCTCCCTGCCTTTTCTAAATCTCAACAAAAGAACATTTTGTTCATGTTTGGCTGTAGGTTTCAGGTCTTTCTTCTCTCGGCCAGCTGTTCTGTACTGTCAGTCCATTTAAGGGGTCAACCTGACAGGTCACAGCTTGGTGCTAATGTGTTTCCCACGCTTCAAAAGATGAGTGCCTGGACTTTCATGGTTTCTCTATTGAAATCTGTGTTTTGGTTTTTGACTAAAATTTATATAATTCTTTTTGCTTGTTGTGCATATTCTCTCTCTTTCTCTCTCTCACTCACTCACACACACACACACACACATTTAATTTGCTGTCTAAATGGTAGCATATCATGGACTTTTATTGTTTTTATAAAGCTAATTATAATTACCAGAGACTAACCCAAATATATAAATATGTAATTACTTTATAAATATATAGTTTATATATTTATAAATATAAACTATAACTTTATAAATATGTAGTTACTCTGATGATAACTAACTATGATATATATATATATATATATATATATATATAAAATGTATATTTTCGTTTTATGAATTATTTTTCCAAATGAGTACTGTACTGAATATAATCCGTACTGAATATAAATGTGGTAAAATGCGTGTGCAAGCCTTACAGCAAGGGCATAGCTTACTTGGTTACTAAATAAGCAGCAATGCATTTTAATTGGATTCAAATCAATCATCTATTGACCACAGTTCAACACGCCACATAAATGCACTATAGAGAATAGTGTGTTATAGAGATTGTTAAACACACTTTAATTAAATAAAATTGTAAATAAGGAGTGAAGAACCTACTTTCTGTTCTTTGTGTCAGCTATAACAGTGGGCACATAGCAGAGCAGTTATAACAGTGATGAACCAATGATTTATTTAAACTTAGACAGTGTGTATGTGTGAGTACAATGGGTAACTGGGATATATTAGCTTTTAGCATTATTGTGTTAAGTTAACCATTGATTAATCAATCTATTGATGTCTGTTACTCTAAGTCATTTGGAGTTGGCAGTAAAAGTTTTACACACACACACCCAAAAATCCCCTTGATTCAGCGGACGTTTATAGAGGGGAGCATAAAAATGTTTCCCTTCTTTTCTACCTTTTCTCCATCCCTCCATTTCTTTTATCAGTTTCCTGTCAGTGTGGGCCACACAGATGGTTTAGGTTAGCAAAGCCTAGGCCACAGAGAGCGTCAGAGAGGGAGGGATACACACATAGTGCTACGTTGCCTTCATATTAACCGTTTTGCCTGGCAATATTACCCACCCCAGAGTTTCCAGTTCCATGACGCTATTCCACTAAAAACTTACAAAACATTTGAGTTCAAGTTTTAAACCATAATATAGTTTCAAACGGCCCCCCTCACTCATAAAACAACAACAACATCAAAAAAACACGTTATCCTTAAAGAAGTTCACTTTTAAAAAACTTTTGCTGATAATTTACTCACCCACATGTCATCTAAGATATCCATGTCATACTTTCTTCAGTCGAAAAGAAATTAAGGTTTTGGTGAAAACATTCCAGGATTTTTCTCCAAATAATGGACTTTACTGGTAACCAAATGGTTCAAGGTCCAAAAGACACTTTCAGTGCAAACTGCAAACTGTTCAAAGGGCTTTAAACGATTCCAGACGATGAATAAGGGTCTTATCAAGCGAACAGATCGCTCATTTAAAAAAAAAAAAAACAAAAAAAAAAAAAAGTTTAAGTTTTATTCGCTCAAATGGTCACCTTGCTCTTCTGTGTATACTACTGCTCGTGACTCTCCTGTTCGAACTCGTTTATCAAAATGAATTTCTGTATATGGATTTAATATATATATATTAAATCCGCATTAATCATTGATTTTTAGTCTTCAGACTATACAGTTTGGGGTTAGTAATATTTTTCTTTTTACTGGTAAGTCTTTTCTGCCCATAAGGCTGCATTTATTGAATCAAAAACAAGTAAAAACAGTAATATTGTGAAATATCATTACACTTTAAAATAAGTGTTTTCTGTTTTAATATATTTTAAAAAAATGTAATTTATTCCTGTGATGTTAAATCTGAATTTTCAGGATCATTACTCCAGTCTTCAGTGTCGCATGATCCTTCAGAAATCATTTTAAATGCTGATTTACTGCTCAATAAAACATTCTTCTTCTTATTATTATTATTATCATCAATGTTGAAAACTGTTGTTGCTGTTATTGTTGGAACATTGATTAAAGAATAGAAAGATCGAAAGAACAGCATTTATTTGAACTTTACAAATGTCTTTTTCACTTTTGATCAATTTTAAATGCATTCTTGTTGAATAAGAGTATAAACTTCTTATTGACCCCAAACTATTAAAATAATTCATAAACAATCCTTTTAATTGTGCTTATAAAAGCACTTCAGCTACTCAACTGTCACCCAGGTCATTTAAGTTCAAGACCCCTAATGTGCAGGCACAGTTTTATATTCGTGACATGAGGTGAGAGTAGTTTTTTTTAAACATGCAGGACTGCAGAGGTTTTTTGGGGGGTGAATTTGTTGTCACTTCCGCAAACAAGCACTACAGTATGTGCTTATTTTCCTTTCTCCCCTCATCAAATCAGTCATTTGACATATTTCTACAAAAACAAAAAAAACAAAAAACGGTGACATTCTTAACAGCGCTTTCCCTTCCAAATAATCCTTCCTGTTCTCTCTTGCTCTCTCTCAATTTCTTTAACCTGTCTTATAATGCGTTGAAATGACTCTATCCCTTATCCATGTGTCGGTAAAGTCCACATCCTACTTGATTGACAGTTCGGTTTGATATTTTGTCTAGGCCCTTTTATCTTATATTTCCATTTATTTGTATTTCTCTCTTGCTGTTTCTCCCTCAAGTCTCCCATGCCTAGATTTGGAGAAAGGCATTTAATTTTTCCTCTCCTCCTTCTATTATTCCTGCCGTTTAATCCTGTGTGACAAATTGTTTCCTGTTCTGCTCTCCCTCTTACAGGAAGTCGACTCATAGGCCCCTCTTGGGGGCCACCGTTGTGGACTCTGGGAAAAGAGTGGGCCGCGTGGGTTGGTTTGGGATGGGTTTGATTGGACAGCTGTGGAAACCTTGGAGACCCCCAGACCCTCACACACACACACACACCCCTCACCCCCCTATACAGCAGTCCAAACCTGCGTTCCAGCTGTGACTATTGAATAAACCTCTACTTTACAGTTTCCAGACATAAACTTCAAACGCCAACATCTAACACTTACTCCCTCATACAATCACAGCACAAATCTGCCTATGAATTTCAGTCTCCCATAGGAAAGAAAATGACAAATGAGACCTTTAAATGTCTCCATTTAACTTTTTTAATTTATGAAAAAATTGTGATAAAGTTCTGAGGAAATTGGCACAGTATAAACAATTGTTGTGGCATTCACTGGAAAAAAGCCTCTGTGACTCTTTATTACATGTAATAAGTTAATTACAATTTAAAGTGCAATTTAAATTACAATTTAAGTACAATTTAAAGATAAAATTTAAACTTGTACCAAGTTTTAGCTGTGATCATTGGTAAATACTTTGTTAGGGAACCGTAGGGGCCAAACATGTTGATGGGAAATTTTAAGACGTGTATTCAGTCACATGACTTTGAGACAAAGTCACATAAGTATTTCCATCATACGTAGTTTATGCAAACGTATTTCCTATAGGCAGTAAAAGAAAGGGACACAGCGACCCCATTGATTTCAACAAAGAAAATTGAGAACGTTAAAGCTACACTGTGTGATTTTTACGTCCATCTAGCGGTGAAAAGGTATATGACCATCCATTGAATATTAGTTTCTGTTCCTCTCAATTACGATTTCATTTTAACTCCTACGGTGGCCAATGTAGTCCAAGATTAACATGGCTTCCAGTTCGACCTTGTCCATGAGTGTTAACTTGCTTGAATTAACGTGTATGTCCCTCTTTGGCTAATGTACTTTCAAGATGGAGGGGCAACATGGCGATCGACATTAGAACCCCTTACCCGTATGTATTTTCAATGGCATATTAAACACTCACGAGAATACTTTATTACTTGAACGAAGGAAATATACATTAATGAGCACATATATTTTTGAAAGAACTAAGTGTTTTTAGCTAAGAATAAACTAAAAGAGTTACACAGTGTAGCTTTAAAAGCTGATCGCCAGGTCGATTCGTTATGACACAATCGTTAGCCTATTTTTACAAAAACAGCTTCTACGGGGCCGTAACGTGAGATACAAGGCAATGGAGCCTTTTATACATTGTTGTGTTTCTTTAGAAATAAATAACGGACGAATAAAGTCTTTGACATGTCAGATGTAAAGTTATTCGCTGTCAAAATGACGCCAAAATGAATGGGAGTCAATGGGATGCTAACAGCAGGTGAAGTTCGGCTCCCACGAGATTTCAACTTCCGGCTGGTGGATTTGATCTTACCAAATAGAAAATAATATCCACTTTAAGTGAGCATATCCTTTTTTCCCCTGTGCATTATGCATTTTATTCATATCACATCTTGATAATTTCAGTATAAATTTAAATTCTCCCCATACTGAATTAGCTGAGCTATGCTATTCGTGTTCTTTTTATCGTTCTATAAAATTACATTTTTATTTCTCAAAATGAATTTAAGGAGAAACATCTGGGGTGAAGTTAATATGTAACTCCATAAGTCTCTTGAGCAATCTAAGATCAGTGTCTAAACAATAAAATTTGGGCAAACATATCCACACGACATGTAAACACACAGATAGATCATAATACATGTTAATCGTATAAAAATGATCATGTCGCCATAATTTAAAAACACCTCTTCAGTCAGAATGGCAGCGTCTCATTCATTTCTACATTTCTATAGAGGAAATGGTACTTTCTTCTTCCTCATTCAGCTGAAAGGATGGCAGAGTCAGAGCGCATAGGTTTGGCCTATAGTGCCATGCTGATGTCACTGTTTGATCTATTACATAGGATAAGAGTGGTGCACAGTCACACCACGCCAAACCCTGTGCGTTATCAGTGCCTTCGCGTGTAGGTGTGGCATTTCAAGTTCAGACACACATTAACTGCACCAAAACGCGTGTGTGTGTGTGTGTGTGTGTGTGTGTGTGCACGCGCAGACTACTGCTATATAGCTATACTTTGAGAGGTTTGAACGAGACGTGACCCGCCTCGTGTCTATCGGGAGCTGGTATTGTTGGGTAATCAACGACATGTGATTGTGTGTCATCTGGCTCCGAGGGTCCAAGGTGCTCAATTGATCTCATTCACTCAAAAGGGCATCACTGTTTAGACAGCCCAAGCCAGACTGTAACCCTTACTTCCTGCCTTTCTTTACTCGCTAACTATATTTTCCCAGAGAAAAGGGCAGATAGGTTAACATGGTTCAAATGATCATGCCTGCACTTCAAACAAAAAAGTTCTTCAGCCACTTGGATACCATTCTGTTATCAAGAGCCATTCTTCACTAGATGCGTCTATCTATATCTTTATCCATCACAAGTTCGTCATTGTTGAAGAAAGTACTCATTATAAATGAGATCACTTTATTTTCTACAGTTTGTAGAGCCATGGCTCTGTCAGTTCATGTTGCGAGTCTGTGGATGCTGTTGGAAACAGGCTTTTGATTTATGAGTTCCTAATTTGTAGTGCACGCTGTACGGTCTCCTGTACTGTCATGCCCTGTACAGCGCTAAGAGATAATCCGATGAGTCAGTGTTTCGTATCTCTCCATAACTTTTCAGTGAAATGCGGTGTGCGCCGACTCCGATCTGGATATATCTTGGCCTGCTCCGGTTTTACAGTTTAGCACCAAAATATCTATCCTTTTAGGTCACCGTCACAGACTTCTCTGATCCCCATATTCTTAAAAACGTTTTTAGTTTTACTGATAGTCTAGACAGATAGTAAAACAGATCTAGCCCCTGAGACATGAGTCATAAAGCTCATTTCCACTTTTACACCTCATATCCATAAGATATCTTACTGCCCTTTAAAGTCTCTATATAGCAGAGCATGTTTATAATCTGTATCTGCGTGCTGGTCTCATTCCAGAGCTCGACTCATTTTTATCTGTGTATGTGTGTATTAATGCTGTCTAGATTAGGATGAGGGTTATTCTCATGCCTGAGGGACAGAGAATGTTTTTTTGTTAAAACCAAATTGTTGATCTTGATTCTGCTCTGATCCATAAACCGGTTCTGGCAGGTTCTGACCGGCTGATTCCAGCCCTCACAGCTCCTGCGAATGGAGGCTTCCTCTTTTTGTGCTGCCTCTCTCTCTCTTTCGGATGGATGTCTGTAAACTCTTGACTCTGCCTGAGCTTTAACTTAAATTAGAGAATGATGCAAATCCACAGGGATCTACCACTGCATCTCCATTACACACACACACACTTGTAAACAGACCTGTAAATATATGTACAGAACATCGACATGGTTCAAGATATTCAAAGAACACAAAAATACTGCACAGCTATCATCTGTTATCTGTCATATCATGATATTATCTGTCATATCAAACAATTTCATCAGCTTGTTGGTGTCGGCTTATTGATATAAGCAATATGTTGACATCATCAGTGTGTTAAGGAAGACAGAATGAGAGATTTTAACTTGTGTGCGGCGCGCATAAAGTATGATTGATTGATTGTGTGTGAGATCGATCTGATCATTTGCTCTCCCATCAGATCCTATATGTGCTCCGGGCTAGTATCCGTCCATACGATCAGTGATCAAATGATCTCTTGTTACGAACCATGTTTTTCCAGGGCATTAGCAAGAGGAAGTGAGTTTTCAGGACTCTCAATTTCATTGACTTAACAAATGGCTAATTTGGGTGAGAAACTAGCAAGTCCAAATAATTAGTGTCACTTGAAGCTCTCTCTCAGATGATAACAGGATGTTCAGGAATGTCTTGTTTAATTAACCGATTCACTGCCACATTCAATTCCTCCAATACAGCCCGGTGTGTGTGTGTGTGTGTGTGTGTGTGTGTTTTAGTCTGTCTGAGTGCCAGTGTTATCAGAGTGATTATCTATCCGTCACTGTCTGCTTCAAGGTGCTTGTGCTCCCAGCATTCCTCAAATCCTCTATCAGTTGATAGCTACTGACGTCCTCTGACTAATCTTTTACCTGCTCATTACAAGTTGCTATTCTGCATTTAACAAGAGTCTTTTAGTCCAAATGTACAGTAGATGCTTGTGGCCTTGAACTATAGTGATTTCTATCCTTTAACCACTACACCACAAAACATTTTACATGGCAGTACCATGGTACTTTAAACATACCTTGATACTGAAAGATTATTAATTAAACATGGTACAAATACAAATAAATCTGAAAACACTGTCCTTGGCCCAATGATGAGGAATGTCCCACTAAGGTCCTTTATAGTATAGCATATTGGAACCACCACCAGTACTATTTTCTTGCCCCTAGACCTCTCTTGTTCTCCTCGTCTCTTCCCAGTTCTCTGTTAGCGTGCGAGTGTCCTTGGCGTCTCTTAGTCACGTTTATTTTCAGTCTTTTCCCTGGCTGCCAGACCGATAAAGCTCTGCTTGCCTGGCCATGGTGGTGGAGGGTGGAGGGATGTGCGTGTGTGTGAGTGTTGTGTTTGTGTGTGAGATGTGAAATGTCTGCATATGCGAAGTGGTTTCATGCTATGTTGGGCTCTGTTTTAGCAGCAGAATTATGATGTTGACCCCAGCTTCCCTCAAGGGATGGTGTGCATATATATGTATATGTGTGTGTGTGTGTGTGTGTGGGGGCCAGGGGAAGGGGTCGTACAGTACACATTGCTGACGTCTATGTTGTGTTCCATGTTGTTCAGTCTGTCAGGAGTTCCTGAGGAGAAGAGAAGTCTCATCATGCAGAAGGGGAAGATGACGATGGACGAAGACCCAGAGGTGCTCGTAAAGGGTGAGACAGAAATTCTGCTAATTAATAATTCTCTGACACCATAGTTGTCATTATGGCTGTAAGACCAAATGTATTTTTTTGCATGCATTGGTGCATTTGGGGGTATGAACAATGTCCATTATTAACAACAATTATGGAATCAGATTGATTTGAAGCGTGAAGATTGCAATTTCGAAGATAGCGTGAATATCGAAGATTTGAAGATTGCAATTTCTGAGGTTGAATTGGTTTTAACTTTGACATTCTGGTAACTTTATCTGCAGTGAGTTCATCTCAAATCTGTCTCACAACTATCTCCCTAAAAACACACACACACACACACACTCTTATCAATCTAATTGGCGACTTGTTTTTATATATAGAGGTATTTATGGGCTAAGTCTAATATACTGAACAAAATTTGTATTATTTTAAACATTATCATTATTGTTAGTTATCAGGTTTGCATATATTACCATTCAAAAGTCTGGGTTGTAAGATTTTTTCATATTTTCTAAAGAAGTCTTATGCTCCTTAAGGCTGCATTTATTTAACCAAAAATAAAGTAAAACACAAAAAAATCTATCAAATATTATTATATTAAATATTATTACTTTAAATAAATATTATTACAATTTAAAATAACTGCTTTCTGTGTAAATGTAATTTATTCATGTGATGGCAATCTGAATTTTCAGCATCATTACTCCGCTCTTCAGTGTCACTTGATCCTTCAGAAATCAATCTATGATTATTTGATGCTCAAGGAACATTTCTTATTATGGTCATCAATTTTGAAATATAATTGGTTATTGAACACTAATAATCATTATTGTTATTTGTTGTAGACAGAAAATATGAATATATTAATCAATCTGACACAAACCTTACCATCAAAACAATAGTTTCCTCATTTGAAATAGTTTTCAAATGAGGAAGAGTACCCAAATTATGTTTTTGTCATCTTTAGCTCACTTTTGTGTACAGTGTTGTCCCCAATCTATTGGCAAGTCCACACACACACACACACACACACACATGCATTTGTTATAGCTTACAGTATTATCAGTGACACACTGACACAATCATCAGACATTGTTAACCAACACCTAATTTGCTGTCCACGGGTTTAAGTGTGTGAGTGTTATTCAGAGTTGTCTGTGATCTCAGGGTGTGTAAATGTGAGCACTGTGCACATAATACTCAATCACATGTAATGAGTAATAATAAGTAGGGCAGAGTAATATTAGTGTGGAGGGGTCCAAATACTCCGCCAGCCTGTCTCATGCTGGCCCGTGGAGCTGCTAAATAAGACAGTCTTCCCCCAGTCTGTCTGGGTGACTCACTCTCTCTCTCACACACACAGACACACACACACATTGAACGGGAAAGGTAGCTGATGCGGTATCTGCAAGCAGCAGTGGAAAAAGGTAACATGGTCTGGGTGTCATGAGGGTTTCTCCAAAAAAACAAAGGCAGTTTTCCCATGAAACGTATCTTGATTATTGTCTCTGATACACATTTGTGCATAGCTGACAAACTTGGTTTGAAGGGAGATTTTCTCCTGGAGGGAGATTTTATCCCCTGTGTGACCTTAACACAACCCTCTATTAAGATTGGTGAGCGATGGTTTGGTAAGCTGCTCTCGACTGGATGTGGACGGGCTGGTTTGTGCTGTCGCCTTTTTCCATGAGCGCTCAGACCGACTCTGCATGAGCGCTCTCAAACAATTATATTTCAAATTAAACTGTTTATTTCTGCCAGGTTTTGAAATTGAGCCTTAATATTATCAGATTGATCTGTTGCAATATTCATCATGTATAATATGGGTATTTTTATCTTTCTTTTTCAGGCTGGCTCCTGCGAGAGGTGCAGGGAGGCTGGCTCCGGCAGAGGAGGTTCTGGTTTGTGTTGACAACCGACTCTCTCGATTACTACAGCGGCTCGGACAGAGATGCTCGCAGACTCGGCACGCTTGTACTCACGTCCCTCTGCTCTGTGCTGTGGCCTGATAAATACACCTACAAACAGACAGGTAACACACCTGCAAATAAACTGGAACAGTCACCATTCCCTTTCATTGTGTATGCTTTCTGGAAATTGGTTGGACAATAACTTGTTACTGGAGCAGTGCCCTTGAAGGGACAACTGTGTGCCTTTCCCTAAATGATTCAAAGTCGTACTCAAATCCACCGGAAAGGTGGATTTGACTTTCTTCTTTCAGCCAAACTTAATTGGAGTTATGTTAAAAATATCCTGTCTCTTTCAAGCTTTATAATGAGAGTGAATGTTACCTTAGATTTTGAAGCCCAAAAAAGCACATCCATCCATCATAAAAGTAATCCATATCCGGCTCCAGTTAAGGCCTTCTGGAGCGAAGGAGGTGTGTTTTTGTAAGAAAAATATCCCTATTTATAACTTTATAAACTATAATGGATTACTTTTATGATGGATGGATGTGCTTTTTGGTCTTCAAAATCTGATGTACCATTCACTCCCATTATAAAGCTGGGAAGAACCAGGATAAATATATATATTTTTTTACTTCGATTGTGTTTGGCTGGACGAAAAGTCATATTGAATTTTTGAAATTATTGAAAGGATAGCCCATATACATGTTGGATGGCTTGAGTTTTTGGATGATACAAAGTTGTTAGAAGGTACAAAGTTGTCTTTTTAAGTGTTCTGCCTTAGTGATAAGTACTTTTGCATATTTTTGTGTATATGGAAAAATATTTCTATTTTGGATTTTCTGGTTTATAAACGGATTTTATATTTTATTTATGCATATTTCTACCTTTTGAGTATGTCTTTAAAAGAAGGTTAAAAACATCCAATCAGAGCAGTTCTTTCTGTTTGCACTGAAAGAGTGTGAAAATACATTCCCTGTATTCACATCTTCTGAAATTTCACCTTTTGGAACAATATTTATCATGTTATTCAAAACCCAAAAGACCATTGTTTAGCTTCAAAACACAAATGAAAATATTTTAATATTTAATATTTTAGTGAAACCTGTAAGTGTAACAGAATCATAGAAGATTTTACTATGCCATAAAGGCATAGTAAAACAAATATATATGAATTGAGCAGTTATAAAGTACCATTACGAAGTTATAAAGTAATAAAGTTTAAAAAAAACAACAACTTTCATTTGCTTTCAGTCTTGTGAAGAGATATGATTGCTTTATATGATGACATTTACGTTTTATTTACATCTAAACATTCATTGACAGGCACATTACATATGGTAAACATTGGAAACTCCTTGGTTGTGTGAGAACCAATGTGGTTTGTTCACGCATGTGACGCACAAACGAGTTTCCATTATTATCATATGCGATGTGCTCTACGTATACGTGAACTAAATCATATGTTCATATGTAAACAAAGCCTTAAATGTTAAAATTGTAATCTATCCATTTAATACCTTCAAGGTTGTCCTTGTGGTTAACTGTACAATATTTTTCCATCTCTCCTCATCCACATTGCAGAAATATTAGCAAAATCGCTTGTCACTTTTTTTGTATCACGGTTAGTAAATGATGTGAACTTGCCTTTTAATGTCCAATGGAAGATAAACTTAGTATTTCACTCACTATTTTAGGATTTGTCCTCCCGATGACATCCATTTTTTTTCGAAGAAAACAGATCTTTTGGTCAGATCACAGGCACAGAGCAGGCGTGAGACTGCTGATCTCTTTTTGACATTGGGTTTGATATCTTTCTTGTGGGAAGACTTTGATCACAGAAATGAAATGCAGGATTGTTTGAGAGCAAAAGCGAAATGAAGGCAGACAAATGGCATGCATTGTTGTCTGGGGAGATTGTGATGACCAGACAGAATCAAAGACTTATACTGTACAGTGTGTGTGTGTGTGTGTAAACTTTCAACCAGCACAGTCTACAGAACTCTAAACTTTTGCCAGATTAACTTTAGGGACTTTCCTAGATAAAAGTGTGTGTATGTGTGTATATGTCTGAAAATGTGTGTACAAGAGCAGCAGTTGGTCAGGAGTCATTCATTATCCAGCACAGCAGACACGATGGCAACGGTTTCTTATTTTAACAAACAATTCGTCATATAATATCATGTCTAATGGCTCGTCCACAGAGTAAAACAGCTCTTTTAATGAATACATTAATGAGGTACAATTTCGTGGCCAAGAAATAGGAGTTATTTACAGCGGACACCGAATAACACAGTGGTCCTGAAAAACCCAAATTAATTACAGGAAAATTTCCACTGTGAATATACATTGTTCTGCTCTAAAATATTTCATATTGTTGAGAGCAAGATCTTGCCTAGTCTAGAGAGATTGGTGGGCTTTATGGAGATTGTAAAGAATTGCTGTGTCTTTTATAAGTCTCAGTTAATTTGAACCAAAACTTCATTCTTTTGACTGCCAAAGTTAACAAAAAAAGGGAGAAATTATGTATCCGTAAGATCCTCATAAAAGATCCAGATCCGGCTTTAGGAACATCTGAACACATTTACTGCAGGCCAGGCACGTGAAATATGAGGTTGTCAGAAATCTGGAGCTCTGGTACATTTGTCTTTAATCAGAAATAGCACAAGCACATACAAGTTTTCTTGCATTTTTCTTTTTACTTTTCTTTATGTACATACTCTCGTTATTTGTTAGGAGATGCTATTTTTGTGTTGTACAGCTTCTGTGAATTTTCTTTTTGAAGAGCAGCACTAAAATATTTGAAATGTGCGCGACAGGTTACTGGAGTCTGACGGTGTATGGCCGCAAACATTGCTACAGACTATTCACAAAGCACTACAATGAGGCGGTGCACTGGGCGTGTGCCGTGCAGAAAGTCATCGACAGCAAAGCGCCGGTGGAGACGCCAACACAGCTCCTCATACGAGACATCGAGGTAAGAGAACACGCCAACATGAAGCGATTATAAATGCCAGAGCTAAGTGTGTGTATATATACATTCAGTGAAAAAATATTACATTTTATTAGTTCATTCAGCTTAGCTCCTAAACTGTCCATGGTCAGGATGGCACACATACACAGACACGGTGTGTAAACCGTCTAAACCCCACCCACTGTCGTCTCTCTGCCTCAGTATATTATTATTAGTTTGTTGGCTGGTGATTTTACACTTATAGATATGCTGCTCGGTATCTCGTGTCCCTGGAAATAGTTTTGATGGCAGTGAGTAGCTCTTTAGAAGAACCCTGTTGTTATGATGTAATGCCGGCACTCTTGGAGAGATCTATATTAATAGGATGTTAGTTGCTAGCCCACAGAACTCCCAGGAATCTCATTGACAGACAGGCAGACAGACAGGCGTGAAAACCGTAATGGTTGAAATGTTAAGTGGACTGACCCAAAAATTATCGTGCTGATTACTATATTACTCTTAAAGATAAGTTATGTATGGATATTAAATATTGAAGCAAAAAGACATGGGAGGCTATGCTATATTCTCAATAAAGTCATGACTATGTTCTTGCCTTATTATTTTTTTATGGTATTAGAAAATTTTGTTTTGATGAAGATATAGTTCCTGACATGGATACCATAAACTTAAGTTTAGTATCTATACTATTATTTTATGGTACTATTTACATATACTATTTATTTGACCTCTCACATACTCAAACACAAAGTACATAGTGGTAAGGTTAGGAGATCTTGTTATGTTTAACTGATCTTGGGATGGTTTATAAGGTAATTTTTAAGCAAACACCCCACAACCAATATAAACAGGCCCAATTCACACTTGAAATGTACACAGCAGCTTTCATTATACACGCATACACAGAGCTGGCCTGCAAGCTGAAATTAATTTCCCTTTCTTTCATTTATTCTCATCCGTTTTCCCAAACACAGCATTTACATTTGAAACACCGTTTCATTACCAACCCCATAACAAAGAGGTCATCTGTTTATAGTACACAGAAGATATATTTGTCTTGAGTTTATTTATTTCAGGGTGTTTAATTGTCCTTGCATTACTGTATGTGTGTTTATGTGCAATGTTTTTGTACAGGAGAATAAATTCAACCCAGAGGTTGTGGAGCACATCTATCAGCATAATCCCATCCTGAGGTACACGCAGAGCCCCCTCTACGCCCCACTGCTGCCTTTCCCCTACGGCAGTCTCCACAACACACGTGAGTCAAACTTTGGCTCTCTTTATTTAACTCTGTCTGCCTATTTCTTTCAATTCATCATAAATTAAAAATGGACAAATCGTTTTTTTTTTTTTTATGGAAAAACATAAACTTCCCTTCCCCTCGCAAGGGAATCTCCATCAACGTGTCAGTCACATAAGATTGCAGCGAATAGCAAACATCAAAGATCTACTGATCCAATAGTGTCCTGATGGAAGAACTCAAGTCCAGCCCTGCATTTTTTTCTTTTTAGAGAAGCCATTTCACTCAGCTATACACCGATGAGCCAAAACATTAATGACCACCTGGCTAATATGTTTTTGGTCCTCTTCGTGCTGCCAAAACAGTGCAGACCAGCCGAGACATAAACTCTTGTGTCTGGCACCAGGACATTAGCAGCAGTCAGATCCTTCAAGTCCTGTAGGTTGCCAGGTGGAGCCACTGTGGATCAAACTTGTTGGTCTGGCACATCCCACAGATGCTCGACTGGATTGAGATCGGGGGAAATTTGGAGGCCAGGGCAACATCTTGAACTCTTTATAATGTTTCTCAACCCATACCTGAACAATGAGTGCCATTATAATGCAGGTGCATTTTCCTGCTGAATGAGGCCACTTTCACCGGGGAACAACATTGTCATGAACCAAATTTTTCCCTTGTTGGGGAAATTTTAATCTTACAGTGATTATTAGTAAGGATTACTAGGTGATTTAAGAGATGAGTTTTTTTGTGTGAAACCAACTGCATGAGCAAAATGTTGGTGTGTGCATGAGAATGACCCACAGGAACAGATGGGACAGGACCTCTGACCTTAGACACAGTTAGAATAGACCAAGTTATTTCAGCAGGCTCTGGCCTTGTGTAGAAACTCACGAGTGGTCTGGGGTGTTCACTGATATGCTCAAACAAAAATTGCTGCAAAAGATGCTTTCCAACAGGTGTTTTACCATTCGTTGTAAAACTGTAGACCTATTTTTCCGAACGCCTCACAACCGTACATTCTTCCGGTGAGAGCTTGAATAATAGACACTCCAGCCCAGTTGGTGGCGATAATGCACCTTTGCCAATTGCAAGCAAACCACTTGTATAGTGTAGCCTACGATACCGCGACTGCATAAGACTACAGAAAGAATACAAACCCATTTCTGTTTCCGGTGGCGGAGTAATACCGTACATCACAGAATATACAATACAAGTCAATGGAGTTTTACAAAAACTACGATAAAACCTGTTGGAAAGCATCTTTTGCAGGGATTTTTGTGTGAGCATATCAGTGAACTCCCCAGACCACTCGTGAGTTTCACGTCTTTGTAAACTAAAGTTTTATGCGTTTTTAAAGGATTGTTCCTTTACACCTATGCTACCTTTGTGAAGGAAAACTAAACCTGAAAATTCTCGTGACCGGAGCATCTGTCTAAAAAACAATCTTAACCATTCTATTTCATCAGAAACGATCTTAAAACAGGGCTTTAATTGTAAAATACCAAACTTGTCCTTTAATATGTGGTCCTGTTAGAAGACGATCAATGATTTTCACTTCACCTGTGACTGGTCATAATGTTTTGGCTCATCAGTGTATGTCACTCACAATAGAGAAAGACAATCACAATGTCATTTTCATGCCAACTTTGAAGACGTTTGGCTGTGTAAGCTGTTCTTGATACATTTTGTGTCCTCCAAACTCATGAAGTTTATCTATCATGCTTTCAGCATCTGGCTTAAAGACAGCTGCTCTGAATGTACAAAATGATTGGCTGGCGTAAATCACCTCAAAGGTTGTTCTGATTGGTTAAAATTGGTTCTAATCTGCCTTCCATAAAATTTGTACTTAACTTTTTTTTAATAAATTTAATCACATCTGATTTTAAATCTATAGAACTTTTTGAAAGTTGAAACACCAAACATTTATTTTCCACAGAAAACCGTAGGGAGTCCTTAAAAAGCTGGTTTATATTGTCCTATTCGATTTCTTCCCATTGTCCCAACACACCTTCTGTCTCTCTTCTTCTTAGATATGGCTGGTAAAGGCTACACATCCGTCCGCGAGGAGGCGGTGAGGCTGTTTAACTGCCTCCAGCAGTTAGAGTCGGCCCACGAGCCCATTCCTCTCATACAGGGAATCCTCCAGACCTGCCTCGACCTCCGGCCGCTCCGAGATGAACTCTACTGCCAGCTCATCAAACAGACCAGCGTTACCAAATCATGTGTGCAGACGCAGCCAAACCCGCAGCTCAGATACTGGCAGCTGCTCACCTGCATGAGCTGCACCTTCCTGCCCAGCTGCAGCATCCTCAAATACCTGCGCTTTCACCTGAAGAGGTCAGTTACACACGAATAATACAGATCTCTCAGACAGCGGGGCTATTCTGAAGAGTAACATCATGAATATATACACTCCTCAGGATGTGTATGCTCACTCACCCACCACAACGTCAAAATTACTTTCAATTTCACTTTTAATTCAATGCGTTTCTTGCCGTGTCTCTGTAATTGTGAAATTTTCTGTCAATTTCTGAATGAAAATTGCTTCCACACCAAGACCTCGTGTGGGTCTTGCGGTTCAACTGCGGTTGAGTGTTTAGGAAATATGGGCTGCCTGAGACTGGATTTGAAAGTTGGTCATTTGGATATGACCATGGCTAATTGACTCTAAATAAGAGAATGGCTAAATAAACGAGTGTGCCTTGAGGAAATGGTGCGTTGACCACAGGGCTTTGATTACAGAGGCGGCTGGTGTAATGGAGACGGAAGAGTCTCTGTTCTCCTGAGGCCTCCGGTCGCTTCCCGCATGCGTTTACTTAACACAATTAGGGCCTACGGGCATGCATGTGATTACCAAGTGGCTGACACTTCATATCGCAAATAGACAAACTAAACAGAGAGGCCACACAACTTCCCCCAGATTTTTTGGGAGGGAAATTTTGGGGTTTGTGTGTGAAATCCTGTAAATGGTCCCAATAAAGTTTAAAATCTCTTTCTTTGTTTGTCTTCCCCCATGTATCAGGGTTCAAAGTTTGAGTGCGGACTCGGAGGTGGAGAGCTACGCGTCCTTCATAGCCCAGGCTCTAGAGAAGACGCGCGGCCGTGAGTGTGTGCCCTCTTGGGAGGAGATCCAGGGGCTGATGGGAAGGCAGGAGATACTGTGTACTGTGCACTACCCTGGACCGGGCTGCTGCCAGATACCGATCACCTCGCACACTACGGCTAATGAGGTATTGCATCAATCGTTTCCTCTACAGCAGGGCTTGGGAACCTTGTGCCGCTCATGTGTCACTATTGACACACAAAGAAGTAATCATTAGCATACAAACATAAGAACGAGGCACTCAGTTAGTAGTTTATTATTTTTGTATTAGTTCTTAGTTTTTTAATAATTTACTAATTAATTAATTTAATAATTTTCTTTTAGCAGTTATCCTTCCACAAAAATGTATTGCTTTATTCATTAATGGAAGTAAATGTACTTTTTGTTGCGTATATTAAAGAAAATATTCAACAATATTTCTTTAATTGTTTTTTTATGGTCTTAAATATTTTTTTTATAAAAAGTAACCAACATTACCCCCCCCCCCATATATATATATGTATATATATATATATATATATATATGTATATATATGTATAAACGAAGGGAAAAAAATATGTATATACTCTACATAAACTAAGAAAAATGACAAAACCACAGAACAAAATGACCAGAACTTAAATATTTAAATGAGAATATTATAATAAAAACTACAATAACACTAATTTTCTTTGTCCAGGTTGTGAGGAAGATGGCGGAACGCCTCGGACTGCAGGACAGCCGAAACACATTTGCTCTTTTTGAGCAGAACACATGCTGGGAGAAAGCTATCGGAGGCAGCACCATTATTGCTGATGTCATCACCAGATTTGAAAAGTAACTCAGTCTAAATTTCTTTAATCAGTTGTATTATGTGGAATACAACAAATAGCTGAATGTACCAAACCTGAAGTACCACGTCTATACCAGTCTTTGTTGGACATTGTACTAGGGCATTACTGTTTTTTTTTAAACATGTACCATGGTAATACTATGGTATTTTTTAAGTACTATGTAAAGACCATGTTACATGAATATGGTAATCATTCATTACCATGATATTACCATCTACGATTGTGCTACAGTACAGTGCAGGTCTGTTTTTTCTTTATCTTTTGATTTATTCACTTTCCCAACACTTTATCACACTTTAACCGACACTGTGAGAATGGACAAGCAGCTCTTTATTAGTATTCAGTAAGCCAGCAGGGATCTCAAGGTGAGACTGATGTCATCGCTTTAACTGATGTGGAAAGCAAACTGAAGGAGAGATAAGCCCAGCCAGCCAGAATTCAAGGCATCCGCTTTATTCTGGGAAGTGTGTTTGTGTTAGTCTGTGTGTGTTCTCCGTGCCAACTCTTCCCAGAAGTGGGTTCATGGACACACGCCTAGTCTTTCTCTCACACTCATACATGCGTGCAGACTCGAACACAAACCCGCGCATGCAAAACTGCACATGCAGCAGAAAAAGCTGAGTGAATCAGGGTGCCATGTGATTGAGAATGATGACTTTGCTCTGTTAGGGTGGTTTTAGCCATGTGTTCAGGGAGCATTGGCGGATTTCAATTGTTATCGTCATGCCATGCCTTCCTAAGACTTGTGGACTTGTGTAAACAGTTGAAACAGTTTTGGGGTGCTTGAGGGATAGTTCACCCAAAAATTGAAAATCTGTCATTTACTCACTCCATATTTTGGATAATTTCATTAACCAAACTGTAGGTCACTGGGTTCCATCAACTGTTTGGTCATTTTCCATAGTATTGTTAAATTAAGCCCTTCTTTGTGATGCACATTGGACCCCTATGGTGTGGTGTGCATGAGTTGTATCTACTGTATATTGGAAAGTGTATTTGCTTAATGCTTCACATGTAATGCTTCATCTGATCCATATGCATGTTCCATTAACAAATCCTTGTCTTTCTGTCTTCCAGTTTGTCAGCTAAAGACCCAGACTCTGTCTGCCAGTTCCGACTCTGCTTCAAACTCTATTGTCTGTTGGACACCGATAACATCAGTACCGACAGCATTGAGTACCTCTTCTTCTATGAGCAGGTAAAACGACACGAGACAGACATGGACGAGCAGAAATGAGAAAGTTGAATAGATTAAGTAAACTATAGGCCGAAAGAGAAATGAACCTTCTGTGGAATGTTTTATAAAGACCTAATGATGGATGCCTTCCTCAGAACATTTATATTACAAGCTATTAATTCTTACTGAACAATATAAACAGGATTAGTGTTACACGACTGCTCTCAACCTAGTTTGGATGTGTCTGCAAACATCCATTGAATGCATTTTATATGTGCATGAAACAGCAGAGAGTGGCTTGGGGGCATAGAGAGAAAGAGGGATTTCCAGTTCTTCCTTTCTGTTTGTGTTAAATGTGGACTAGTTTCACACTTGTGTGGACAGATGTGTGCATATCGTCTTTATCAGTCGGATGAAAAGCAAACATGCAAACACAACACATTAGTGAACTCGGTAAACCTTCCCATGCTTGACTTCCTCCCTCCCTCCCTCTCTCTTTCTGTATCAGTGTCATGAGATGGTAGTGCGTGGGCAGCTGCCAGCCTGTGAGGATGACCTTCTTTCTCTGGCGGCACTGAGACTGCAGTGTCTGCTGGGAGATTTCAGCGCCCTCTCTCCGTACCCGCCGTTGGAGCAGCTTTTTCCGGCTGAAGTGGTGGAGGCCCGGGCCCTACTTGCTCCCGTCGATCCCCCTGGCTGCCCTTCCTTCCCCGGGGGTCTGCTGGCTGGGACATTATGGGGGCACAAGCGGCGTCAGGAACAGGACCAAAGACTCCGAGCCAGGCTGAGAGAGGAGGGAGCCGTGGTGATGTCGACCATTTTAGAGCACTGGAAAGCACTAGTGGGATACAGTCGCAGAGACAGCATGGCCGCCTATCTCACCATCGCCCGGCAGTGGTCAGGGTTTGGCTGCACGCTCTATGAAGTGGACTTCTACATTGTGAGTGGATGATTGTTACTGGTGAAACGTTTGGAATCAATAACCCTTTCCCCACCAGTGTTTCAAAAAAAGAAAAAAAAGTTGTCCGCCACTGTCACATGCCAACTTTTTGATCTTTTTCACAAAATTTGCATGGCCCCAAGCAGTGTTGTAGTACTCGAGACTCGGACTCGGTCTCGAGACCATATTTTAATGGTCTTGGTCTTGTCATGGACTCGTGTCCATTTGAACTCGGAATTGACTCGTACTCAAACATTTTTTTTTTAGGACTCGGACTTATTCCCGAGTCCACTCGAGTTCAATTAAAAATCTTTTTCATGATTATTAATGTATGTTAATAAAATATTTCTTTAAATTGATTGACACGCCCAGTGATTGGTGATTTTCTAGTGCGCAACTGCGCATGACAAATTGTAATAAAATTACTTTTAACACCATCTACTATGTGGCCTTTTTACCCTAAACTGATCATATTTTTTAAACTCTAAGTAAATTCAGTAAAAAAAAAAAAAAAAAGGATTTCTCTAAGTAAATAAAAGTAAATTAGGTAATCAACCCTCACTGGTCTCGGTCTTGACTCGGACTCGACCATCTCTGGTCTCGGACTCGACTCGGACTCGACTCTCTATGGACTCGGTCTTGACTCGGACTCGACTCTCTATGGACTCGGTGTCGACTCGGACTCGAGTGAGGTGGTCTCGACTACAACACTGGCCCCAAGAATATTTTGTTGTCTGAATATCTGAATATCTGAATATGCAATATTTTAAAAGAAAGAACATACCCTCTTCTTTAAACAAACCAAAAAAAAAAAGTTTTATTCTAGTTTATTAAATTATTTTTCCATCAACATGTGGGTATAAGTTTCATTAAATAAGCAACATTTTGAGTAAAAAGCTGAGAAAATTACATTTTTTTTCAAAGACTGGATTGGATTCAGTAGATCGAGTCCATCAACACCCCCAAAGCTTGCACGGTCCTGTAGCTCATCCTGGGTCGACATTTTATTCATAACATTAGGCAGTTTTGATTTATATGCGGTGTAATGTTAATGATCGCGTTATTTTACGTATGTATATGCTTACATATGGTATTGCTCATAGATATCCATAGAAGGCTAGATGTCTCGTCCGCGCTGCTGGACAATGGAGGTCGACATCCGCACCTGGCGGCCATCTTGTTGCAGGCAGTTTCGCTCACTCGTAACATTGTGTTTCACTGGTGCATGTACTTTTTAAATAACCATAACTATACCAATTTTCAAACGGATTGGTTTGTTCTAAACGTCAGAGATGTAGTTATGACACTGCATACTTATGAATATTAAGTGTATAAATAAATAAATAATCATCCAGAATTATAGCCACGTTAATAATGTTTGTACGAAACCAAACCGTTTGAAAATCCGTCAAGATTTCAACGAGATAAGAGTATTTGTGTTCGTGCTGATCACTCATCTTACATCAGCTTGCCTGTGACAAGATGGCCGACGGTGATGACGATAAAGACTCCATCGTAAGACATTCTATGGATATCTATGATATTGCTTGTTTCTGCTTCTTCTTCGCCTGTTTTGATCAGGAGAGTCAGTAATCTTTCAGATAATGTGTTATAGCGCCCCCTACCGTATTACAGTGAAAACACAGAAAGCTGGAAATTTCCGTCAATGGCAGGGAAGTGTTGTCTCATAACTGACGGAAATTTCCGTCAAATGGCGGGGAAAGAGTTAGTCTTTTATGCTCACCTGGTCTGCATTAAAAATACAATAAAAGCAGTGATATTGTCAAATTCCACAAAAATATTTAGCAGCACATCTGTTTTCAGCACTGATAATACTCAGAAATGTTTCTTGAGCACCAAATCAACATGATAGAATGATTTCTGAAGGATCATGTGACATTTTGAATCACAGCTGTGGCTAAACATCCTTGTGTTTCTTGTAGAGCTCGACAGGAAGCTTCTCTCAGAAGTTGTGGCTGGGTGTGGCGGCTTCCTGCGTGTCTCTGTATCGTCAGGGTGAAGCTGAAGCGTTGGAGTCGCTACCGATAGGTCAGATCTGCTCCTATGGCGTCTCTGATAGCAACACATTCAGGATCACAGCAGGAGATCGAGACCTGCTCTTTGAGACCACAAAGGTAAGCAGGCTCGAAATGCTATCGCAGCGTTTGTGCTATGGACTAAATATTCTTCAAACCATGCAACTTGTTGAAAATATATATTTTTTTGAAGTGGCTGGAGTTACGATATTAGTCTGTTAAGCAATTAAAACACAACATAACTATGAGCTAGGAGCCATACAAGCCAGGTCTTCCTGCCATAGCTTTACTCTAGCAATAATGTGCATTTGCAACTTGGCCATGTTATCACTGTGCATGATATAGTTAGGCCAAAATATTATAGGGAAGGCAAATACTCCTAGCCGAGACAGAGTGTTAACATGAACCGTGATGCTTTTAGACCTAAAATAACATCGACGTTGATGTCAAAAGGGTTTTTATCATGTATACTTTCCAGTACTCACACAATACAGGTCAGACCAGCTGTGACTTTTAGTGTGTACACATGTGGAAACACTGAGACAACCAGTTTATCTTCTCCTGATATCAGCTACAGGCTCACACCCATCCTGTGCCCTCAGTCCTATTCGTTTTAAGCTGAAAAATCTCTTGAGTTTTCATGCCAAACTACATCTGTCTGCCTCCTGAGTGATGCATGAATGTCTCTGCTAGCTCACACATACACCATAAATAACAGACAGTCATCAACCGTCGCCCAAAGTTGTTCTAAACCCGAATAACTCTTATAAAAAGCAATGCGACAAATTCTAAAATTTAAATATATATAGGGGTGGTGATGGCACAGTGGATGAGACGCATGCCTTTGGTGTGAGAGACCCAGCTTCGAATTCACTGTGAGACACCAATGTGTCCCTGAGCAAGACACTTAACCCCAGAGGCGTGCGACCTCTGACATATATAGCAATTGTTAAGTCGCTTTGGATAAAAGCATCAGCTAAATGAATAAATGTAAATATAAATATGACCAATTAAAAGTGAGGTCATCTGTAAGTTGCTTTTTGATTTAATTTAAATTCATTTATATAGCACCTTTCACTATATTTACCAAAAATATTGCCCCTTATAAACCTTTTTTTAATTATTATATATTAGTTTTATTTAATGTAGCAATTATATTTAAATAAATATTTTTTATTTAATATTTACATGCAATTATGTTGAACGAGTAAAGCATTTAGTTTATGATTTGTTGCCTCTTGCTAAAAAAATAGATAAACCTCTACTGCATTGTTTCACACTACATTCAATACCGAATTTAATTAAAAAATGATACTTTTATTCATCAACGATGCATTGTTGTTTCCACAAAAATATTAAGAGAGTAGTTCAAAACTTTTGCTGATGAAAACATTCCAGGAATTCTCCATACAATGGACTTCAATGGGAACCAAACGGTTCAAGGTCCAAAAGATAGTTTCAGTGCAGCTTCAAAGGGCTTTAAACGACACCAGACGATGAATAAAGGTCTTATCTAGCGAAACGATCGCTCATTTAAAAAATAAATTAAAAAGTTTAAGGTTTATAAGCACAAATGCTCACCTTGCTCTGTTCTGTGATGAGCGTTCGTGACTCACCTGTTCAAAATTGTTAATCAAAATGAACAAATCTTTTTTGGATCATGACTCGAAGGGTCCTAGATAAGACCCTTATTCATCGTCTGGTGTCGTTTAAAGCCCTTTGAAGCTGCACTGAAACTCTCAATTGGACCTTGAACCGTTTGGTTCCCATTGAAGTCCATTATATGGAGAAAATCCTGGAATGTTTTCATCAAAAACCTTAATTTCTTTTCGACTGAAGAAAGAAAGACATGGACATCTTGGATGACATGGTGGTGAGTAAATTATCAGCAAAAGTTTTGTTTTTAAAAGTGAACTACTCCTTTAAGCAGAACAACGGATTTCAACACTTACAATATTTAGTGTTTCTTGAACAGTAAATCATTAGAATGAATTCTGAAGGATCATGTGACACTGAAGACTGGAGTAATGATGCGGAAAATTCCAATTTGCATCACAGGAATAAATTCCATTTTCCAATATATTAAATCTGAAAACCGGAATCTTAAAGTGCAATAATATATGCGTTTTTTGAACTAATAAATAGTAAAACAAATGCAGCTTTGTCAGTATAAGAAACTTTTTACAAAAAAGTCATACTAACCTCAAAACGATGTTAACTCAGGATTAAGTGTAGTGTACAAGGACTTCTAGAGCATAACAGAGTCATTGTACTAGTGTAAAGTGCATAGCACTGACAAAAATGTCTGTAACAAATTTTACAGTGGAAATTTACTACAGTCATTTCTCTCTCTCTCTCTCTCTCTCTCTCTCTCTCTCTCTCTCTCTCTCTCTCTCAGCTGACTGAGATCATGCAGCTGATGAATGCTTACTTCAGTGCCACCCGTCGCCAGCTAGGCAAAGATGACTGCATCTCCATAGAAACAAACCCTAAGCTCCACCCCTCCCTACTTGAGCTCCCCTCTCACCCGGTGTGAAGAGAGAATGACTCGCTCGCTCATGCGCGCGCACACACACACACACGCACACACACACTGAGACTGACTCTGACTGATGCACACATGCATATGCAGTCCTGGCTGATTGCTTCCCTGTGAGCTTTGCCATGAGGACAACCTCTGATGAGACTGAAAGGAGCAGATGCTGTGGAAATGGAAGAGGAGTGGAAGGTGTCCAGGGAGCCACAAACAGGAGAAGACGGTTCAGGAACTCACTTGCTACACACCGCCAGCCAAATCCAGAAAGGACACGGAGGCCCCTGCCACCTGGGAGCCCGCCAAATATCACAGAGAGGAAAATAGCGTGACTTTAGAGATCAACAGTGAAAAAAAAAACATTTTCTTAAGGAGAATTTTGGTCTTGCTTTTTTTAGTATTCAAATGTTTAAACATCCTTAAAACAACATGAATATACTTTTACTTAATTTGAAAAATTAATTTGGTTTTACTTCAACTCATTAAATATTAAGACTTTTTTAGACCATCTTTTCAAAGAATTTACATGATAATTTAATTTAATTTTTTTTTTGTAAAACAAGACAAGATTTTTTTGCAGCAATGTCTTTGTATTGCACTACAGGAAGACTACACAAACATGCTGCCGTTGCACTCACACACACACGCAGTTTCTGCGCTTTAAACGTTCCTTTCGAGACTCCTGCCTGGCTCGCTGTTAAACTCATTCATCAAACCGTACATGACCTTGAAACGAAAGCAGGTGAATGTCACATTCACACCGACCTTTACCGAACTGACGGTGGTGCATGTGTGGGTGAGAGACGTATTTGAATATTTTAAGCTGTAGAAACCAAAGGATCCTTAGCTCATCTGAATGATGCAAGTGTATTTGTGAAAAGCTTTGAGCCCGACCTGGTGCTGCTTGACTGTGCTGTTAGCTTACGGTAACTCTGCACTGTTCGTCCTGTAGCCACAACAGCCTCAGATCTTTAGATTATCTTAACTCTTACATCCGCATACCTGTGAGGGTAAATTACATTTTGACATAAAAAAAATAATAATACAATTTTGGGTCAAACCAAGCTTCCCAGACCTCTCGAACACTGAAGATAGACACTATTGATATGCAACACTATCATCCCATTTTCAAAAGAAATTACATTTCCATTAAAAGGGATAGTTCATCCAAAAATTTAAATTTTGTCAGCATTTAATCATGCGCATGTCGTTCCAAAGCTGTGTGACGTTATTTTATCTTGCTGAACACAAAATAAGTTTTTTTTTTTTGTTCATTTAATGGAAGTCAACGGGATCCCAAAACGACATTGTTTGGACCCCATTGACCTTCATTGTGTGGACACAAAAAACACTGAGACCTTTTTCAGAATGTCTTCATTTGTGTTTCACAGAAAAAAGGTTGACACAAAAGTAAGTAAATCATTTTTGAGTGAACTATCCCTTTAAGCCTAACCTGTAGCCTCTGTCTGTTGTGTCTATGTTACGAAGCCTCATTTCGGCTTCATGACGGCTTATTGTCTCCTTTAATGTGTGTTAGTTTCTACTAGTTTTATTTATGGCTGTCTGTTGAATACATTGTGTGAAAGTGAGTTTTTTTTTTTATTGTCCTTTTTTACTTTTGTTTTATATATCTTTCATAAAGACCCGTATTTGTATTTTAGAGCTTGCATTGAAATAATTACAAAAGAGCTGATGATGTCATAGGTAAATTATGATGTCATAATGTTTATTTACTTTTTGGGTTATTTGTTGTTTATTTTCCCCCGTCATGTGAGGTCTACGAGTGACAAAAAAAAAAAAACTTGATAATAATCAGTTTATTTTGTAGATCTTATTATTTTGTCATAACCATTTGCCCTTTTAAAGTCACATGGACCAAATTTCTTGGGGTTGGGGTCTTTTTTTCCCCCTTTGAATGACTGCCAAACTAACACTGTAGCAATAAAACCTGCCCAGTTGTCCTGAGGATGAGCCCATTTTCAGTATGAGGCTTCAGGTTGCCTTTGAGGAGCCACTAGTGCCTGTCAAACAGTCTGTACAATCTTTAATTCGCTCTTACTCTATGAATACAGAAACACTGAGCCTGATTATGGAGTATTTTGGTTCTGCACTATCTTTGCCCCACAGCAGTTTGTCTGCCTGAATACAAATTTGAAAAAAAGGTTGCCAGCTACTTGGAAGTTCAAAGGTGGAGGGCAATCATGTCTTCAATGTTGTTTATATTGTTTAAAGAAGTTTATTTTGCCCAAACCATGTTCCTCCTACAGCCCCTGTGACGGCCGTAGTGGTTGTCACATTTGCTTGTCTTCTTTTCATGTCACTCTTTAGCTGCAGGCAGCTCTGACCCAATGTCATACATGTAACAAAACTTGACAAACTCTGATGCTTTGGTTTGTATGCTGCATGGTACCTTTATTATGTTACACGTGTAATAGTCAGTTGCACTATTGTTTGTACAGCTAACTTAAATGTGCAATAATGCAAAATGATGAATACTGTATGTAATAAAAAGCAGCACCATTACATCACTTGAGTGTCTGTTATAATATTGGTGGGAATAAATAAATTATATATATATATATATATATATATATATATATATATATATATATCGCTCATTTAAAAAATAAATAAAAAAAGTTTAAGTTTTATAAGCACAAATGCCCGCCTTGCTCTGTTCTGTGATGAGCGTTCGTGACTCTCCTGTTCAAACTCGTCCATCAAAATGAACAAATCTTTTTGTCATGACTCGAAGGGTCCTTGTTAAGACCTTTATTCATCGTCTGGTGTCGTTTAAAGCCTTTTGAAGCTGCACTGAAACTCTCATTTGGACCTTGAACCGTTTGGTTCCCAATGAAGTCCATTATATGGAGAAAATCCTGGAATGGTTTCATTATGGACAACATGGACATCTTGGATGACATGGGGGTGAGTAAATTATCAGCAAAAGTTTTTTTTTTTTTTAAAGTGAACTATTATATTGGTGGTAAAAAAAAAGTATATATATATACATATATATACGATTTCCCTTATTTCTAAATATGTTTAGTAAAAGGTAAAACTTCCGAAATCTCCGTGTAAACAATGCGTGAAGTAGACGCGCGAGAGATCACTTCCGGCGTAAAGTCTGGAGACGGTTCAGTTCAGTTGGACATCTGATTCAGATCAGTTCGACGGCTGTTAAAAAGAGGTAAAACTATATAAATACTGTTCGTTTTCTCACACAAACCGCTAGTTTCGTGTCTTAGGCCATCAATGTGTACTTAACGTACATTCAAGAGTCATTAAATCATGTTTAATTTTGACTTCTCTGTGCATGCTCTTTGAGGTGGACCACCTCTGCATCATATGACTGACAGACAACACCGGTTTGACCGAAAATGTCAAAATTGAAAATACTGTGGAAACAAAGACACCTACATCTTGGATGCCCTTGAGGTAAGCTGATTTAAAATTAATTTCAAACTGAACTAACCCTTTAAAGGGATATTTCACCCAAAAATGAAACATTGTTTACTCACCCTCGAATAGTTCCAAACCTGTACGAATTTATTTCTTCTGCTGAACACAAAATAAGTTATTTTGAAGAATGCCGTTAACCTGTTGCTGGGCCCCATGGACTTCCATAGTATGGAGAGAAAAAAAATAAATAATGATGTAAGTCAATGGAGCCCATTAACACTTTGGTTAACAGCAATCTTCACAATAATTTTTGTGTTAATTTTTGGGTGAAATATCCCTTTGGAGCAAGATTGGATTCAGTATGTCTTTGATTCAGTTTATCATCTGGTTTGGTAAAGAGATGAAGACCAGTTATTAGAGTTAGCTTCCATTTCTGAGCTATTTCATGTGTTTTAAGGCCAAATGACATCTGTTGTGAGTCATTCTGACCTGATTGCAGATGGTCTGTGAGAGTTATCAATACAAATGGAAATGTTATTGTACAAAAAACATTTATTCGATCTCATGAACTTCAAGTAAATGCATCAAGTCTGACAGCAAACTATATACACAGTATAATATTAATAAAAAGAACATGTGGTAACTGAGGAAAAGAAAGCACTGAGAAAGGAGTTTCATATGAAGGGTCTATCACTTCCCAATACAATAGAAAAAATAAAGAGAGATAGGAGCAGAAGAATAAATTATTCAAAAAAAGGAAATGTGACATTTGTTGGGATTTTGGTGTATGATTGAATCTGCCAGACTTTGAGGTAACATCACTGATGGAATTGACTAGAAAAAGAGCCCGGTGACAGTGAGGCTTCACTGATTGGATAGGATTGAGGTACAGCACAACACTTGACTTACTGATCATCTCTCAAAACTCTGAGATAATCGCCTAGAGTAATCCATGACAATAAAACAGAGAAAAATCCAGTCAAATCACACAATCATAGTCTATCCCCTGAAAGCAAGCGCCTTTTGTCTACAAGCATGCATGCGTGAACGTGAGGGAGTTAGATGGTGTATTCATAAGCTGCTTCTAGTCTGATCTTTTCTAAGAGGCTTAATCTTTCACACTCCCTCCTACGGTTACATTCATCCGAGACCACCCAGTCTTATCGGTGTAGACGTCCAACATGTGTGTGGTCAGGGAAATTTATGTGCAGGCCACCTTGACATAGATTGATGTAGATTGTGTGCAGAAGAGTGCCGAGTGCAGTACAAAAATAGATTAAGACGGGAGCCATAAATTCTCTGATCAAAGAAAGGAAATTGGGGAGAAAGAGAAAAGTTACAGCTCAGGATAGAGGCACCAAATTATGAAGAACTTTTGATAGGCTTCTAAACATGAGAAATCACATTACATAAATGAGTGTCTCTTCCCATAGCAGTAATGCGGAAATAGGCTCCGGAGGAACAGTATGACGAACCACGAAAGATTTAATGACATGAGTCTTAAGAAGTGCATTCACTACTGAAATTCTGCTAGAGTCTGCTGGAGTCATTGCGTATTTTATAGGATGAGTTTAGAGGCTTTCTTTCACTGCTCTTGCGTGCCCCAGGAGATGTAGTCGGGACGCGTGGCGGCGCTGTACTCATCCACAAGCTGTTGAACCACCTCGCGAGAGTTATCCAGCTCGTCAAAGTTGTCCTTGAATATGTCCTCCTTTCTGAACTGCTCGAGGAAGGCCTCCCTCTTCCTCAGCTTATCATACTGACGACAGGTTCGCTCAAACAACTAGGAGTGAGGGAGAGGAGAACAGAGATTAGAAGGTCTGCCCACATTTTGAGCAATGAATTTCCATGACTTTTCCAGTTTTGTAGCCAATGTGAAAATGGCTTATAATGTTGAAATAGAATTGTCAAACAAAAAAACTCACAATTGCCAAGTGCATAGGCTTTCTATTATTAATATTAGTCTACTAGAAGCAACATTTTAGTTAAGGACTGCCTGTTTCACAAAGTCGGAATTTGATGGCACCGTAATCTTGCCCCATTAACCTACGAACTTCCCTCGTCACAAAAGACGCAGCTCTTCTGAGTAAGCTAAAGGTTCAGGCTGTTCTAAATTGCTATAAAATGATGCATCAGTTAAACACGTCACAATGAGTGTGTTTTATTATAGTAAAGCAGACAATAACTTTTGGTCGTGGTGGTACTTGTGTATTCATGGTAAAACAGCTGAAATTGTGTATTTAAAATGTATATACGCATGTCTTTTTGTCTAAAACGTGTACGTTTCATGGATATCAATGAGTCCATTTTTTTTTTTTTGAATATGTTGGCCTATTTTACAATGCTCTGCCATCTGTATTTGCTCAGTAGCTTGTATTAACTTGTAGGAGCGACAGGTTTGTATATGGTCCAACAAATATGTGAATGGGCCACATTATGTTTTTCTAGCTGGGGATAGTTTGTGCTACATCATCACCTCCTTTCATTACTTCATACTCTTTGGTGATTAGCTGGTGTTGGCTCTGCTGTACATGGATTTTTTTCAAACATTTTATAGCAACTGCACTCATGAACAGTCTAGCTGATGAATTACTTGAGAGTTGAGCATAATCAGAAATGCTTATATTTGCTAGAGAATTTTCCAGGCCTGGATATCACAAGTTATACATTTCCTGTCATTTCCTAGTTTTCCATACACATGGAAACCCTGTTCAGTGGTGTTTTGGGACTCTGAGAGAGGAACTATAGGAACTTCTCTGCTTGGCCCACAGTGAATGAACTGGGCTAGTTAAATGCGATCAAATTGTTGAGAGAGGTATGTACCAACTCGTCTTAGTTAAGGGAATAACATAGTTTAATATATAAAAAAAAACGGTGGAGTGTCCCTTTAAATCTTTAGCAAATCACAAAATATCAATTTTACAAAATGTAATATTTTGAGATTTGCAAGAGATTTAATAGCGTTATTAAACAGTGTCAGATAACTGTAAAAGTAAGGCCCTGTTTACACCTGGTATTAAGATGCATTTTGGTCGATCGGATCACGTATCAAGTAGACGAGGAAGAAACATTCACGTTAACACCTGGAGTTTTAATCCGTCTCTTTTGTCCAGTTTCAACCAATACTGTCCTGATTTCTTTGAGGGAAGGGTCTACACGCGGGTACATTTATGGGATTTTTCAGATCCTTCTGCTTTGTTTCTGCTCTGATAGCCACAAGAGCACAGTAAAGTGAACGAAGTGAATGCGTGTTGGAAATCTGGAATGGTGTGAAAACATCAGAACATTGTGCTTGGTGTGTTTTTCTGTCTTCAAACCAAACTAGGGCCTTCAGCCAAAAAGTTTAAATCCCATCTGGCTATTTGGTTCCCCATAATGTTTACGCATTAGGACCGTCTTTTGTGGCTGTTCGAAAGCCTTTTCAACTACCTCTGGAAGTGGTTGAAAGTGGACAAGCTCAAATCTATTTAGACCCCATTTACACCTCTATTTAGTACCGTCCACTTGTGATCCGATCGACCATAACGAAAGAGTCCTCTTTCAAAAACATTGAAAAATCTTACTGATTCCAAACATGTAAACGGTAGCGTACATCCAAAAGATTCATTCTGATAAACTATTTTTTGAGTTCATAAATAAAGGTCAGGGCTTACCGAAGAGATGCTGGTGTGATTAGCCATCATAAGTCCACTAACACGGTGAGCTGAGGGCAGGTAGGGAGATCTGCGGGACAGTGCCACCTGGATACTAGCTGGACCCCATGGGATGAAATTAGCTAACTTCCTCTCCCTGATTCTCTGCAGACTCTTATGAACCTGCAAGGACACAAACATGAGGACATGCACAACTAAGGCTCAGAATTTGCTGTGTTTATTGAGCAAGCGCACACCTGTGTGGGGTCCACCTCTCCCTGGATGATGTTGAGAATGGCAATGTAGCAATGAGTGGTCTGGCGGTCTCTACCAGTGGACACCATGACATTCTTAGGCTGCAGGAGTCTCCTCATCACATCAAGAACTGTAGTCTTCCTCACACTTGCCACCTAAAAAGAAGAGAGAAAAAAATTACAATATGATTTAAAGAGCCATTCCTTTAAGAAAAATATTAAAAACCAAGACCGTGAACACAAAGTCAAAAGAAATTAAATTAGATCTTAATAATGAAAAGGCCAGATCGACAAACAGAAAGAACAACAGATATAGATAAATGACAGACAGACATGGATAGATAGATGGAAAGAACGACAGACAGAATAATAGATGTATAGAATATGACAGAGAGATTAGATAGTTCATGTAATTAAAAATGGGTCTTTAGCTTAGCAACATGCTAACATAAGACTAATAGAATCAACAGTGAGTTAAAAAGTGAGCTGCCAATGAAGAGAGTTTCAAATCAGTCACTTATGAGGCTCCATTTTGGTTTGGATGTTGCCTAAGAAGGTAATTGCATATATAGACTGCAGACAGAAGCTTACAGTACTAGACTTTAGAACAGCACTAAAAAGCTTATTAGCATTTCAGCAAAGGATCTTTATGCTTAGTCACATGTTTGAACAACTTACGGACTGATCGGTGGTCAGTGGTGTGTATCCAGTCATGAGGAAGTGGAGGCGGGGAGTGGGGATGAGTGACGCAATGAGACCAATCAGATCATTGTTCATATATCCAGGGTAACGGAGGGTTGTTGTGCTTGCTGACATTATGGTGGACACCTGTTAGAGAAGAGGAACACTTGTCTTTTGACAGTCTAGGGTGGATGGGTGACAACAAGAATGTGGAAAAAAAAAAGTCGAGTTTTAATTTTATATTGTGTCTTCTTAATTATTTGGGTGTGCTAATGGTCCATTTGAAACCTGTTGTGCATGTAAAAGCAGCCAGTGTTTAAGAACACAACAGCCTGGACTGGTGAAACAGGTTTTCTTATAGCACCCTTCACAGAAATCTATGCACTGTTCTGTGAAGTTCACCATATGACACATTTCTTTAAGAGGCGATAAAGACAGTGATGGATGAGTCGACAAACTGAACTATTCACCATGGTATAGATGAGCTCTGAACGGGATGTCACTGGTTATTTATGACCTCTTTATTAGAATGTGACATGACAGCATGTCAGGCTGCTGATTACAATTCACAGAATAGGCAACTCCCCACGTTGCTTCCTCCTGAAACTGAGCAGTTTCAAATTTTGTGGTTTAGTAATTCACTTTCTTGACAGCTACGTATATATATTTTCCAGACTCATGCTTTCATTTATCTCGTTACTTAAAAATGCATGTCTTATCGTATGAAAGCTGCCAGCGCCTAACTGTGATTAATATATGAGCAGTGACTCTACTGTCCCAAAGTGAACCACACCTCTGTTGCAGGGAAGGGCTTTACAATGAAAATGACACTAATATTTAATTGAAAGAATGGCATCATGTTGGGGACGGTTTATTTAATTGCCAAATGCGTCATGTTGGGGACGGTTTAAAAATGTTTAGGATCAATGTCAGTGAGTGAGTTCATCAATAATGCTCAAAGGGGTCATTTGATGCTTTTTAATGTTTTCCTTTTCCCTTAGTGTGTTACGTATCTGTTTGTGCATGTACACGGTCTGGAAAGTTACGAGTTATCCTCTATTTCCCCTAATGTTATATTCTAAGAGGGTTTGACATGTTTGGCGTTGTCATGGAGTTAATAGTGATAGAAATAATCAGTGGTTGTGTCCTCCTAAAAGAACTCACCAGTTGGTTGATCTGAGAGAACGAGGGGTTCTGAATGTGCAGCCGGTCTGTGGCGATTCTGTTCAAAGCCGTGTTGTCCAGCACTACCTGAAAGAGACATGGAGAGAGAATGAAAAGATAACTATGTTAGGACTGTGTGTTAGAGGTGTTCTCGGCGTTGTTATGGAATTATTTAGTATGTATTCGTTTTAAACATTAAAATATTGTTAAACGCTAAAAACAAATAAAGAAACTATTTGACATTTGTTAGAAAAGATCTGGTCTTCTTGGGTTTACATTTATTTTAAATTACCCGAGACCCAAGTGGAGCCGGGAGGACCTACTATTGTGCTATTACTGGATTTGAATCGAAGTAGCAAACAGGATGCAAAATTGTAATTCAAACTAGAAAATGGAGAATCTTGAGAACAACTCAACAGGAAGGGCATGACACTAACAACGGTGTGTTGCCAGAAAACACACAAACAAAAGTATGCCTTAAAAACACTGCAAGTGTCTTTAAATTAAGGAAGTGGAATCAAAATGAAAGAAATTCATATAACTGCTTTAAGAGTTTAATTTAGAATTTCAATCTCACTTGCAGTCAGTGTAGAACAATGTCAATATAATTTTTATTAATAGTATTTAATATCAATATTTTTATATGATCAAAAGACTTTTGTTGATCATCAGAACAAACATGATGATCTTTTTAATGAAATCTGAGAGTTTTCTCTATAGACAAATACACAACTACCACTTTCAAGCCCCAGAAAGATACTAAAGATATCCAAAAATGTGACTCCAGTGGTTTAACCATTTGTTTGCAAATGTTTTTTTTTTATTATACCACTTTATGTACAAAATATAAATCTCCGACACAGGTTCAGAAGACGCATGTGTGTTGACGCAAGAGCAGACGTTGATGCGTGAATGCGGATCGGAGATTAATATTTTCATTTTGGGGTGAACTGACGCTTTAAGTGTTTGTTTTTTTTTTTTTTTGCAAAACTTTATGAGTACTACTGTAATTTAACTTTCAGTAGTTTAAATTTCAGCTAATGAACAAAGCAAACCGGTTCTTAAAATAAATTTTGTCCTTAATTAGTTTTCCATTTACACAATACTTACGCAATTTTTTTTTGTACAGAAAGGATCACTGCATATTTTGTACGACTAGAGAATGTTTCCTCTTAAGAGTAAAAGGGATAGTTCCCTTTATGACCTTTACAACATTTTTGAGGCCAAAATGTTTTAGTGAAATGGACTTCCAAAAAAGGGACAGAAATCTCACCAGGTGAGTAAAAATGTCTAATGTCTTAAATTGCAATTTAAAGGTGACCAAAAGGCTTATGGGTTTGGCAGTGAATAAATTTTGTCATCAAAATAATTTCATTTTGGGGTGAACTATCCTTTTAATTAAAAGTGAAGCTGGCATTATAAACGTATCAGACTTGGAGTCAAGTCTAGATTTGCATTCTCATCAAAGAAAGACAGAAAGTCATCTACCTCTATTAACCTTCTCATCTTTTGTGCTGACTCTCTGATCTGACGTTATTATATAAGTCAGAGAAGAGAATGAAGCTAACAGACAGCTGCAAGAAATATAATATGCATAAAACAGATCTTACCCTTTACTAATGACATCTGCTCCACTAAAGCTCAATCTATTCTGAAGCACAGCCCTTACACGTGAATATTTGCTGGTGATATGAATAATGATGTATTTTGCTGGGGTGATCAAACCTATCAATTCCTATAAAACTCAAATAAGGATATACGTAATTATTGGCCCGTCAGATATTTATTCGACAAACAACACATCCTGTTGACAATCATGTGCTAATGGTTATCAGTCAGAAACCACCAGTTTTTGACACATCTATAAACTTCCATTCCACATGTACAGATAACACAGCACTCTGCATGGTTTATGGAATGAACTCAGTAGCTTGGTCCATGTTAATAAGGAGGAAATGGAAGGAGATGTGGACAATCACATAAGACTATATTCTCCACCTGCTGGTGTTTGGGGAATGAAAGCAGGAGAGAAAGAAAGAAGGTCTTTTTGGGGAGGTGGATTGTGAGGAAATGTGCAGTTAGAGTAGCAGGCTGTATATGAGAAGGGCTCTGTTTCAAATAGAAACACATTCATTTAAGATCTACAACCTAGGAGGGAGAGAGAGAGAGTGTTTAACACCTCCCAAACTCTAGGCCAGCTGAAAAGGTTAGCAGACAGTGTGTGTGTGTGTGTGTGTATGTCTGCACTTGTGTTGTTCAGTCACTCACCACACAATCGGCATTCTGGGTCAGTCTCTTTAATGTCAGAAGAGAATTATATGGCTGTACGACAACATCACTCATCTCATCCTGGTTAGGAAAGACAGAGTAGGTCTGAACTAGTTTTTTAGGATACCTAAAAAAAAGAAGAAGAAAATAGCTGAAAGTTTAAGGCACAAGAACACGTGGCCTTGAGGTTGCACACGCAATGGTATTAAACACATCCCTAAAGAGAGGTAATTACACCCAGTGATGGCTGCTGCCTGCATCTCCCTCTAATTACACTGACTGCCACCCAAACGCTTCAGGGCTGCGAGTCTAGACGAACAATGCAACGGGTGTGGATTTACACTTCAGGAGAGGGAGTGTAGACTGCAAAAATCACTCAGAGCAGGGGGATACAAAGTCCTCTTGAGAACTATATCAATGTTTTTTCTCACCTGTCGTTCAGTCGTTCCAGTAGGTAAGATCCCAGACCAGATCCTGTTCCCCCGGCAATAGAGTGACAAAGCACAAAGCCCTAGAAAAAAAACACACAAAACAGAATGCTAAAAATATACAGAAAATACATGTATAGTATCTCACAAAAGTGAGTGCACCCCTTACATTTTAGTATATCTACTCAAGGGACAATACTATAGAAATGAAACTTGGATATATTTTAGAGTAGTCAATGTGCTGCTTGAATAGACCTTATGTAGCCCCGCCCCTTTTCAGCGCTGCGCTCGTTGTCTTTTGACTTCCGGTCTGTATTTTCACAGCGATCTTGCATAGGTATGAATGAACTCATTTGTTCAAATGTCTCATTTGTTGAGACATTTGCTTTACAATGTTTATGATAACTTTTGTTAACTCTACAATAAGTAAATCCACTTCACCAGCTAATTACTCCCCGAAAGCGATACCATAGAAATATAAAGAGCGACCGCAAAACCGGAAGTTCAAAGACAATATTCTAAACATGACGGCGCCCGCGTTTCTTTGGTGCATAAGGTCTATAGCAGTATATATTTACTGTCCTCAACATAGATTAAATAGCCATACATACAGCCATTGTCAAAATAGCTGGCAACAAAAATTGAGTACACCCTAAGTGATAATAGCTGTACGTCTTTTAACTATGCAAAGCCACAAGTCCTATTCACCATTTTCATGTTTTTGACGGTTCACAGGACCATACAAATTGTTGCATCTTGTATTAGTGGAGTTAAAATTTGTGCTTTGAGTACAATTCTCTCATGCTGACCACTGAATGTTTAACATGGCAAATAACTCTCTATGGATTTAAGAATTAGAATAGTTGCTCTCCACAAAGTCGACCTATGCTGTAAGAAGTTTTTCCACACGCCTGGCGTATGTTTTAAATTTTTTTCAATGGGAGTGTCGCGTTATGCCATAAGCGTAACAAGGCCCTGAACGTTTTTTTCACGCTGAAGCGCCGGGCGCCCAGCGTTTTTTACTGGTCACTAAGAGTTGAAAAAATGTTCAACTTTGGATAAAACGCAGCGCTCATCACTGTCACTTTTTACCCACCTGTCCAATCACAGTGGAGGAGGGGCGGGATTAAACCACAGTGACCAACTGTCACAACATTCTTTCTGTACAACGACATCAACCAACAGAGCTAACCGAACAAATGCATGAAAAATACATTTTTAAACAAATTATCTGCGAAATCACAAACGTGCATGCAACTAACTGACTATTAACATCATTCTCCAAACCACTCCCTAACCTCCACTTACATTCAAGTTACACACACGCACACACCAGTAATTGTGGGTAATAAAGTGAACGACACAGATTACGCAGGGAGGCTCGAGTCTGTTGTTTTAATGGGTGGAACATCTGTATCTTGTATATTAAGAGTGCAAAATAAGGCATAACATTAGCACTTTTGTTTAAATCTCTATAACTTTGACATACACATTTATATATATATATATATATATATATATATACACACACACAAATATAGATTTATGTATACATAGTAATATGTGATATAGCAATCTAAACGAGAGTAGACAGAGCACTGTAAAAAGGGGTAGAGGAGAGAAAAAAAAGGGATGGAAAGTACGTCAAATGGTACGTCACTTTACCATCTGGAGATCATCAGAAAGCGTTTTACTTTGTTTAAAAATATAATCCGTTTAAAAGACCAAATATTCCCAAAGTCAGAGAGAGAAAAAATAGTATTAATGAATGACAGACCCATTCATAATACATTCTTACTTTCAACATTTACTTTAAGCTACTTTTTTGCGGCATTTATTTCTACACTAACTACATTTGAAATTGTATGTTAAATCGCCCCAATCTCCAGATAGCGAAGTGTACAGTAAATGAGTCATACCTCAAGACTGTCACTGCCATCTGCCTCCCTGTCAATGATGTCAAAGATGTCCTCATGGATTTTTTCTCCCTGAAATGAACAAATATGTTGACAACATTTCAATTTTAAGACAAAACCAAAAAAAGTTGTCAAACATGACAGTTTTACTGTTTTAGCTTGTCCAGTATTTAGGGGTAGTTGATATCATTTTGAAAAAAAGTAACAGCTGTGCAATCATGTTCTTCAAAAAATAAAAATAATAATAATAATAAAAAAATATATATATATTTATATATATATATATATATATATATATTATTGTACAGTTACATATGCAGTTCTTATGATCTCATTGTAAATAAGAGACTATAATGAGTCTAGCCAGTATTAGTATTCATTTAAAAATTAATTTGTCAGACTCTGTCAGAGGTGTCCAAACTAGGTCCTGGAAGGCCACTGTCCTGCAGAGTTTAGCTCCAACTTGGACAGTGGCCCTCAAGGAGCAGGACTGGACACCACTACACAATGTGAACAGCAAATAATATGTTTGAACATCGTGAAATAGAAATGATAACCAGTTAAAGAACCGAAAATATAACATAAGTTTAATCTAAAATCTTGATTAAATAAAATAAATAATGTGATCTCTAACATGACTGTACCTGAGAGAAGCCACTGGCCCAGTTGTTACCAGCTCCACCGCCATGCTCCGACAGGTAGATGTTCTCCGGGTTGTATAGGTTGGCGTAGGGGGAGTTCAGGATGGTGTGGATGACACGGGGCTCCAGGTCCAACAGCACAGCACGAGGAATGTAGTGCTCATCATCCGCCTGAAGGGGGTGAAACAATAGAAAAAAGGAGCATTTTCCATGTGCTTCTCCATACTCAATCCAAGGAAATGACGGTGCACAATTTAAGAAATGAGAAGCAGCTCAGGTCTACTCAAGATGCTTGTGCAGTTTAGGCCTGTAAAAGAACCTTACAATGTGTGATACCAGTAGTAAACTGACTACTGCCGATATTTTTGCATCTTTTATTATCAGCATCAACCAAAAATTTATCTAGCCGATAAATGTCAGAAACTTTTATTTTGACCGTGCAGAGAAAGCGAGCTATTTATTCATTGGAACGGTGAACTCTTTCTTATTGGAACACTTTATTAAATGGTAAAGCGATTTGCTGGCATAAAGTTTGGTTGTTACCACAGAGGGTTTACATAAGGTTTACAGATTTTCCCCAGATAATCATTATGTACAATTTTTTTTGAAAGAATATGTACATTTAACCTGCACATTTATTTTGGCATTGTACTTGTTCTGTTATATTGTTGGTGTAAGACACAGAAATGAATTAATCAAAATATTCAGTGTTTAAGACCCGTCTCTCTCTTTCCATTTTTTCTTCGGTTTCACATATTAGCCTGAAATTAATGAAAAATGCTTTTATTTAATCACTCTTTTGAATATATATATATTCAAAAGAGTGATTAAATAAAAGCATTTTTATTTAAACAAACCACAAACCACACATATATATATATATATATATATATATATATATATATACACACTTTCTCATATAATGTCATCATTCATCAAATTCTCAATTTATATTTTTTAAACAAGTCTTAATAAAGTAATAAATAAACAAATCTGTAATAAATATCTTATTCCACCAGCCACACAAACTTTAGTGAATTCAGCTCAAAGTGTGCATTTGTACCATGTATAAAAGTTTTTTACATTTTCTTTAACACTATATTAGTATTTCAAAATCAAGATGGTATCTATTCTAAAGTAAAAATCTGTTTATTTTACAGGTTAATTTTACATTACATTCAGTCTTTTTTCATATTGATTGATTTTCAAGTTATTTGTTTCTAATTTAATAAAAAAATATGTAAAAATAAATATAATTGTAATTGCAGCTTTTGTTATTTTCTATATACCTTTAGCATCACCATCCACAATGGCAATAATAGAGGAAATTACTATAATACTGCGACTGACAGAATCTGTGAATCAGTGACAATTCACATCAGAAGAGCTGTAACATCAAAAGCCTTTTATTAAAATGCCACCGCAGTTTCACTTAAATACCTCATTTAGGTCTTTAATTAGAATAATCTCTTAATCTGACAAGTGATCTTAATCTGACAAATAATCTGAACTAGCAGCTGTGCCATTTATTTCAAATTAGTTGTTAAGATGTTGAAAACTAAAGGCCTCCACATAAAAACTGCAAAGAAACAATGTTGACATTATGACAACTGAAAACGTTGGAACATGGTTCCATCTGGTGGTAAATTATGTGAACTCCTCACTAAGAATGTTGAAGGGATATCACCCAAAAATGGAAATAGGGCACATCAACCGTACCGACATTCCTCAAAATATCTTCTTTTGTGTTCAGCAGAAGAGAGAAATTCATACAGGTTTGGAAAAACTTTAGGGGGAGTAATTAATGACAGAATTTTCATTTTTGGGGGAAATATCTCTTTACATACCTATATTTTATTATTTTTTATATTATTTTAGTCATTACTTGGCACATTATTTGAATACTCATTTATTGTTGTTTATTATTATATAAATAAATATATTTATTATTTAATATTGTATATTTGTTTTTAATTGTTACTTGTTTTGTATGTAATGCTTCTGCAATGTAAACACAACCTTGCCAATAAAATAAAAATTGTTCACACTAGCCATAATGGCCCATCCAGAAGCCAATGTTAACGGGATAGTTCACTTTGAAGATGTAGGTGTCTTTTTGTTTCCACAGTATTTTCAATTTTGATATTTTTAGGTAAAACCGTTGTTGTCTGTCAGTCATATAATGGAGGTTTATGGGGTCCACCCTGGGTTCACCTCAAAGAGCATGCACAGAGAAGTCAAAATTAAACATGATTGAATGACTTGTAAATGTAAGTACACATTGATGGCCTAAGACACGAAACGAGTGGTTTGTTTAAGAAAACAAACAGTAATTATATCGTTTTTACCTCTTGTAATCACAGCCATGTCCAACTGATCAGAAGGCATGGGCGCTTCGGTCTGCACATGCGCTGGAAGTGATCGCTTGCACGTGTACGTCACTCATTGTTTAGAGAGATTTCGGAAGTGTTATCCTTCAATGTGAAGATCTAAACATATTTTGATATACAGGAAATTGCAATGGAAGACGATTTCGATATATCAACAGACAACATTGATTTTTTTTCCGCAAACGCACAAGAGATCACTTCCGGCACTTTCCGTCGCTTGCGCAGACCGAAGTGCCCGTGCCTTCAGATCACTTGGACATGGCTGTGATAACAAGAGGTAAAAACGATATAAATACTGTTCGTTTTCTCACACAAACTGCTTGTTTCATGTCTTAGGCCATCAATGTGAACTTACATTTACGAGTCATTAAATCATGTTTAATTTGGACTTCTCTGTGCATGCTCTTTGAGGTGAACCCAGGGTGGACCCCATAAACCTCCATTATATGACTGACAGACAAGAACGGTTTGACCTAAAAAATATGAAAATACTGTACAAAGACACCTACATCTTGGATGCCCTTGAGGTAAGCTAAAACATGTCAAAAATTAATTTCAAAGTAAACTATCCCTTTAAGGTCACAATCAGTATGTTGGTTAATGCCATGATCATACTGCAAGTGTGTAAATAGCAACTCCATGATTTATATATAATAATAAATAAGATTTAGGATATGATGTGGTTGTGGCTGGCTGATGATTGGCATGCTCTGAATGCATCATCAGCCTGTATTTGTGTAACTTACCTGATAGAAAAAGACATCTTTCCGGTCAGTGCCCTCAGTTGCGAACTCCTCCACGATGCCCTCTGGGCTGATGCCATGCTCAGCACAAAGCTGCTTCCAAAACTCAAAACCAACTGCACAGAGACAATAAAGACACGATTCAATTCAGTCCTTTAATGCAGGGTTGCTTAAGAGCACTCGTATTAATATTAATAATGCAATGGCTATTGTATAACATCTTTGTTAGAAGTAACAGCAAAACTTGCTTCATTTGCTGACCAAGTCTGACTCCTCTGATTGCATGGAACTCCATCTTTCTCAGAGTAAAATGAAACACGATGTAAGTTTCTCTAGCTAAAACTATCAAACATGACGGTAAATAATAAAAAGCAAAATAAAAAGTTTCGAATCATGTGCATAGGAAAACACATTAGCTGGCCAGGTTAGTTAAGTTACACTACAATTGTATAGTTACGTTATCTCCAAATGATATGACAACATGAAATATTTATCAGTATTGATTAGCAAACAAAAACAAAGAGAAGTCATTAATTAAAGAGTTCTTGGTTTCTCGCAAATGGATATATCATATAAAGCCCCTGGTCATATTAAATGTATTTATTAAATGTGTCATTGTAAAGCTGCCCAGACTGATAACGTTAGCTAGCTAGCTAACTGTTTATGTAGAGAAGATGGCAATCTTATTAGCAAACAGAACGTAATAAAGCGAATGTCTCACTCTGGTTCCCGCACTGCCCGAGCTGCAGGGTGATGATTTCTCGAGGCATGCTATCCTGTTATTTCAGCTGTATAATTACTTAAGGAGAGAGATGTGCTGCTGTCAGTCAATCACAATCCCTATACGCCGTGCGTGTTCCCGCTCCAACAACAACGGCCTAACGGAGGAGCAGTGCGCATGCGCAGACTCCGCCCACGCTACGCGTCAGTAAGGCCAGCAAACGTGAATGGATCAATATTTGTTAAAATGTATCAAAAGAACTCTTTTATCGAAAAGAGCCAAACATAGATATGAGATATACACAGAAAACAGAAAGAACAGACGTAGAGAGCATAATTAACGTAACACGTGACGTAGTGCGGGTTTACATTAAACAACATCAAGGCTTCGCGTCAGTTTCGCAAACAAATGGAAAGTGCCTATCGATCATAGACAGTAAAATAAGTTCAAATGACAACTATTTGATTTATTAGTTGAAATTGCGTCATCAAACTGCCCTTATGACACCATTTTATAACATAATAAAGCATTGGAGCTGGGACATTTGGAAAGTAATTCATTATGAATGATCTGTGAAGGCATTTGAAGAGAGATTTCGCTGATGCTAGATGTTGTTTGTTATTCACCAGCTCTGACTGTAATAATCCTGATGCCATTGGCCAGATCAAGCCCGGCCTCCATACCGCTCCCTCTCTCTGTTGCTCCCGCGACAAAAACAACGACTGGACATGACAGCTGCACGGTGACACGGTTAAATAAGACCCGTGCTGACCCATACAAGTATTAATATAGCAAATTAGACCCAATAATGGGTTTTGTTTCACGTTTGTTCTGTATGAACGGCGGCAGCCTCTTGAAAACACGAGGTCTGCCTACACTTGCTCAGTCCTGAGCGGCTTCCGGCTAAGCTAGCTCGCGATCTCCAGCTCGGGTTTTGTTTCTTAGCATTAACTTAAAGTATATTTTGTTGGTGTTCTTGCCGTCACGTGTTTAAAACATGTCTCATACGGGTGGAGCAGCGGTAGACGCGACTGAAAGCAGCGGTTGTTCGATGAAGCTGCGCTCCTCCGCCAGCGTCGGCCTCCGGAGCGGCTCGTGCTCCGGCGAGAGGCTCGAGCAGCTCCGCGCGGTGAAATCAACGCTGCTTGAGCGGCTGGGACCGCACGAGCGCACGCTCACCTATCTGCAGTCTGTATTGTTGTGGGAGAGACCCTTTCACAGCGTCCTATTGTACATGGCCGCCAACGTCATGTTCTGGTGAGTGGATGAGCTTTATCTCCATGGATTTAAGTTATCTCTACTTGGGCTCTGTTTACAACCCGGACCCGGTGCTTTCATTTGAAACGTTTACATTATTCATGAACATTTTGAGGATCTTGTATAAGCCTTTCTTTTTTATCTGGATGCATACGTGTCTTACTTGTTCCAGACGTTTCCCCCTTTATTTAAGATAAGTAACAGATGGTCAGGCTGAGTGTCATTCTCTTTCTTGGTGCCTATATTTAGACAGTGGCTGTAGTGGTGCTACTGTAAACACAATGCTGTGTGTGCGTGCAACATTGTGTACATTTGTGATTCACAGAACCTTGCATTGGGTGCCATGTTTGATGCCTTTACTAATGCATGTTGAGCAGAGACATGTTTGCACTGTTTATATATATATATATATATATATATATATATATATACACACACACACATTAAAAAGTAGTGCTGTGTCCTATATGTTGCCTGTTGTATAGTTTATTGTCTTCTACCTCCCACTGTCAATTATTATTGCAGATAGTAGATAACCACACACACACACACACACACACACACACACACACATATATATATATATATATATATATATATATATATATATATATATATATATATGTGTGTGTGTGTGTGTTCCCAAACTGATTGGTTGGGCCTGGTCTTACAGTGGTGTGATCTTGTTGGTCAACAGGATTTTGCCAAGTAAGACTTTCCTGTATCAACATCTTTTGTTGATTCTGGAACAACATTCCTGTCCAAAAATTTAGTTTTAACACTTCCCCTAAACTTAACTCTACCCTAAAATCAGAAGGAAATGATAAGTGAATAACCCTTATAGAAACATCTAACCCTGGTTGTAATCCTAAACTTATCCTAGACTGTAAACTTGTCCATAATCTGATTGGTTGATTGTAATGTTGTTCCACCAGGATCAACAAAGATGATGATCTAGGAACATGTTGTTCTTTGTGAAATCACTGTTACATAGTCGCCTAACATAGTAAGCCATGTGCTGTGTGTACACACTATGACATCTGTGCTTCTAAAATCAATAACAATTCAAAATGAACCTTACGCTATTTACTTTCTTAATAACTATCCTTGTCTTATTATTAGTGATTCATCTGTGCATTTTATTACAGGCAAAAGTTTGTCTTTGTACTGTAGTCTGCGTGTAATAACACGCTTTTCCTCTTAAATTACTATTGCCCTTTTTCGAATTATAATAATTATATAATAATAATAATGTTAAACAATAGCCAAATAGCTGTTTTAGCATTTGTTATGCTAACATCCCCATTCTTATATTGAACTCCAGTTTTCACAGATCTGGATGATATTGACATAGTGACAGTAAAGAAGTAAAATGGGCTGTGAACGATATTTCGTGTTGACTAAATACTATAAAGAACGCCCAATAAATCTGAAAAGCTTTAGTTGAAATGCTTCAGGAAGGAAAGCTGTGCAGGAAAGACACAATTGTTATAGGTTGGATGTCCCTCTCTTTTTCTTCACTGTTCAGGCATGCAGTCTTCATTCACTTAGTGCAGTCACCCTCTCCATCAGAAGAATATTCCCCCTGATCTTATTATCTCCTTTTATTTGCCTCAGTGAGCAGCAGAGGAATGCTGCTTGTGGTATTTCTTTTCCCATAGAGGCATTTATTTATCTTGGAGAATTGTAATCTGAATGCTCTGACTGATTATTATCTGACTGGGGGTAAATGGTGTACTATGTATTTTTTTATGATGGAAGACAGTAGTTTTTCTTTCATTCACTAAATGATAAAATCTGCCTTGTTTCTCTTTTAATATTAGGCCTTGCCGCCTTTGTTAGATCTTTCCATTTACAAATCATATTCCACATAGTCCAGTCCATTCAGAAATAAAGAATTGCCACTATCTCAGAACATTTCAACTGCCCTTGGTTGTAATGCTTTTGACAGGTCATGTGGTGTTGTTGTTTTATCTAGTCATCAAACAGCATTAACTGTCTTATTCACACTGAGAGATCAGTAGGGTTTAGCCTGGTCTCAGGGCTTGCTCACCTTTTGGTCAAGTAATGTTGCACATACATAGCCGTAATTAGCCATGATGCTGTGAAACTGTCAGAAATCACAACTGCTCACGCAGCGGCAGCACATGCCGTCTCTGAGATTTGCACAGGAAAGACACTGGGGCCGGAAACACCTGTGGAACAAAAGTTTCCTCATACATTCAAGTTTTGGTATACAAGGGTTTGGTTAGAGAGTCCACAACAGAGGTAGTGTTTCAGAATAAAGTGTTTACTTTTTTGTAATTGTTTTCTTTCTCAGGTTTTTTGCTCTGAGCTCTTTGAGGTTGCTCTTTCTGCTGGCATCAGGTCTGGCCCTGGGAGTTTGTGTCGACACATGGAGGAATAAGATCTGGCCTAAGATCAGAGGTAAAATTGACCTTCCTCTCTTGCTTGTGTACAACTATTACCCAAGTATTTAAGACTTTGTTGTCTCATCTTTCTTCCATCTGTCTATCTTTATATTAATGCTGGCTGTAATTAAAACCGCTCTATTCCCTGTGCTGTGTCCCACTCAAGTTTCATTCTCTTAGAGAGTTATGAAACTAGTGCCATTTCCTAGCAGTGCATTTCCAGGAGGTGCACAGTATCGACCTGAATCAATATTTTGCATGCAGCCCGAAAGCCAGTGGCTTATTAGCATTTGATCTACACTCTGGGACAACTTTAATAGAACTAAAACCAAATCCTAAAAAGAAATTGCTGATACACTCATCTTTTTAAAGGGAGTGAAAATATATTTAAGCATTAATGTTTAAGAACTAATAACTGAGTCTTCTAACAGTCACAAATGTGTCTTAAATTGTTTTTGATCTCTTGCAGTGAAAAGACAAGATGAGAGTGAGAATGAAAGGTAATGTCTGGTGTATTTGTTTACTATTTGAGGTTTTTCTGTGGTGTTTCATACAAAATAGTTTAATTCTCTTTTCTGATTGGCTTACAGCTGGGGTCTGGTGCAACCTGGGACTTTGAGTGTCCCTGAATTATGCCACCACCTGGCTGAGATTTGGGTTACAGGGTCTTCCTGTGCAACAGATATTGTGCAGTTCAAACGGCAAAATCCAGGGAAGGTGAGATTGTTCCCAAACTAGCAACACTGTTAAGTAGGGGTGTAGCGATACTCTAATGTCACGATTCGATACATCTCACAATACGATATTATTGCAATAATCCAAGAAATATGGTAAAAGGTTAACAAAAAATGTACTGTTTATTAAATTGCTAAATTTGGTATTATATTGGGTGTGGAAATGAGTAGGTTTGGACTTGGTGCTGGAAACCCAATGCACAGGACAACGGTGACACCAGATTAAAAATATTAGGATTCTGAAGCTGAAAATACAGAATTATTTTAGATGAATATGCTTGCACTCTGTCACTGGCTAGATATATTTAAAATAATGTAGGTCACTTTTTACTGGTAACATAAGACAGTGGCATTATCAGGACCATCAAATATTCTCCCATTGTATTATTATACATAATATTCAACATTATATAAAGTAGTTTAATGTAGTACTGACACTAAAACTCTGTAAACTTGAGTTTTTGTCCTCAAACAGAAATTAATATATACTGTACACATTACAGATTGTCACTATCCACGATGTAAAATATAGATGCATGTTTGTATTGCAATATATTGTGACAGATCACTGTTAAAATGGTATAGACATTATCAAGTCTATAGTTTTGTGGAGCATACAGTGGACGTGTGGTGCAGTTTGCAGCTTACTCTGGACAAGAACTGCCCACTTAGACAGGAAGAGACTTTTTGAGCATGGAAACATGTAAAGTGACCAACCACAATGTATTTTGTTTTTACATGCCATATAAAGCCTATAATTAGTATTATTGCTTTCACGACTAATGATAATTTATAATAAATTGTTAAATACAAAGGCTTTTTTTTAAATTCAAAATGTTTATCAAATCTTAAAACTCCATTCTCTTGCAGTTTTGTATGCTGTTTTGTGGCCTGTTCACCTTAGTGGCCATGGTGGGGCGCTACATCCCTGGACTGGTGCTCTCATACGTGGCTTGTGAGTTGCAGAAATCCTTCAGGGTTTACTTATCTTCTCCAGTGCCTTAACAACTGCAAAATATTTACTTAAATATTTTCTCTCTCTGTCTCTCTCAGTGCTGGGTGTGTTGCTGTTTCCACTGGCTTTGTATTATCGGCTATGGCAGCGTGGATGTTTGAAGCTGGAGCCAGCCCTGCAGTGGCTGGACTTCAGCGCCAAAGGATACATGATGTTAAAGCCCATAGAAAACCCATGTAAGTACATGGCAGATCTAACTAGGTGTGGACTGATGGTCATGCTGAGAACAGTTCCTGCCTTTTTGGAGTTGTATTTAAGGACTGGATTGTTCTTGTGTCATATGGCCTGTGTACACCTCGTCACTTAATGCGTTTTTTACTGATTGGATAGCTATCGTTTTTGTGTAATGCCATTTATTTCATAAATGTGTCTCCGCAAAAAGGATATAAATCCTATCTTCAATTTCATGCAAATATAGCAACGAAAGCAACAGATGTGAGATGCGATTTATTTATGAGCTGATTTCAAAGACAAAGACTGTGTACCTATGATAAAAATGTATAACTTCCAGATGTTTTTTAAGTGTGAAAACCTGCAAAATTAGCAGTGTGTTAAATACTTGTTCTCCCCACAGTATATCCGGTCAGAGAAAAAGCATCAAGTGACCAGGTGTAAACAAGCCCTTCCAAAATGTTGAAATTTTTCCAAATTTGCATGAACATTTTTGCAATCTGGGTAAAACTTCTAGATCTTGTGGATTCCTATTAAAATGACTGGATTTTGCTTGGGTAATGTCTGGCTGTTGGATGCGAGAACTAATCGAAGTGCTGTTTAGCTGATGCTCTTTTTCTACAAATCAATGCAAAAAACGTTCCTTTTTTTATGATATATATTTTTTGTTGACATAAAGAATTTGTGATCTGTAGTTAACAGCATATTACAGCTTTCAGAAGTTTTGATAAACCCCTCTGTGGTTGCAGTTCTTCGAAAACCCATCAGGAGAGGGACCTCAGATGATGCTAGTGATAGCGAAGAGGAACTGGCTGCGTTCTGCCCAACGGTGAGGCCAGATACAGGGGTTATTTATTACATGGGGATTTAAAGCAGCTGCATGGTCATCATGAGGTTTGAATATCTAAAGAGGTTCATGATAGTAAAAAGCAAGTTAGAAGATATTTTTTTTTAATAAGCTCACACTTCTCTAATATTCTGCACCTGTAGTTTGACGAAGCATTGGTTGCTAAGGAACTGGCTCTGACTGACTCTGAGCACTCTGATGCAGAGATGTCGTACATGGATAACGGCACCTTTAACCTCTCCAGGGGTCAAACACCCCTCACAGAGGGCTCGGAGGGTAAGTCACTGAGCTCTTCTGCTCTTTAACTCTCTTCTTATTCTCTCTATATGGGTCAATGACATATAAGAGTGTCTAGAATAAAGAAAGTTTTTAGAAATCTTAAATCTCTTTGTATTCATGATTGTTTAAAAAAAAACTATTAAAAAAAAAGTTTTAGTTTAACGATTCTTGTGGTGCAACCATCAAGTAAAAAGAACACATTTGAGTTTACACATCTAATCATAATCATTATTTTTGAAATGTAAATCTATTTGTACGTTTAATCTTTCTAGATTTTAATCTTATATTAAAGTTATTGTATGTATAAATTCCATTTGTAATATAATACTGTTAAAATTTTAGGGACAGTTTTAAAAAAAAAATCTTTTACTTTTATTGAGCAAGGACACATTAAATTAATCAAAAGTGACAGTAAAGACATTTTAAAATGATATATATTAGGGCTGTCAAACGATTAATCGCATCCAAAATAAAAGTTTGTGTTTACATAATATATGTGGGTGCTCTGTGTATAATTATTTTGTATATATATAAATACACACACATGCATGTATATTTAAGAAAAACAAATATTTATATATAAAAAAATTATATGTATAATATATAGATATACAGTATATACTTGAAAATATTTCTTAAATATATACAAGCATGTGTGTGTATTTATATATATATATATATATATATATATATATATATTTAAAATATTTATACACAGTGCACCCCACATATATTATGTAAACACAAACTTTTATTTTGGATGCGATTAATCGTTTGACAGCTCTCTCTCTCTCTCTCTCTATATATATATATATATATATTAAGCAGCACAACTGTTTTCAATTTAAGAAATGTTTCGTGAGCAGCAAATAAACATGGAATGATTTCTGACGGGTCATGTGACTAGAGTAATGATATGACTAGAGTAATAATTCTGAAAATTCATTTTTGTATCACTGGAATAAATTTCATTTTAAAATATATTCAAATAGAAAAGTTATTTTAAATTGTAATAATATTTCACAATATTACTGTTTTTACTTTATTTTTGATCAAATAAATGTCTCTTTGGTGAGCAGAAGAGACTTCTTTCAGAAACATTTAAATATCTTACCAGCACCAAACTTTTACATGAGGTGTATATTTTTGAATAAATTAGTAAATGGGGATACAAATTTGTGTTTGTATCATTGACACGTGTATCATCTTTGTTTATTCACTGAATAGATTTAGACAGGCACAGTGATCCAGAGGAATCATTTGCCTGTGGGCTTCCAGACTTTCCCTCCATCAACCCAGATGCCACCCTGATGGAGGACGATGATGATGCCAGCTTCGGGCTGCCCAGTCTCAACTCGGCCGCGTTCTCCGGCCCTCGCGGCTCTACTACCTCTGCCCTGTTGGATCTGGACACCCAGATGGACTCTGATCAGGAAGACCTCGACCCCGAGATCTCCCTAGGCTCCCTAAATACTACCTCTGACCTTGCCAGTAACCTGGCAGGGGTCATCGCCAGCAACATGATCCAGGCAGCCATCGCAGGAGCCATGCAGCCCCGGCCACCGCAAGGTCCTCGGAGAGAGAGTGGCCCACGGCCAGGAGCAGCTCCGAGGGGATTCAGAAAGCAGTCGAGCTCGGAGCTGGACACAGACCTGGACTTTGATGGAGAGGACTTTGAGATGTTGGATCAGTCCGAGCTGAACCAGTTGGATCCTTTGGGAGGTGGGCAGGGAGGTCAGAACAGAAACCAGGGGTCGAGTTTCCTATCCAACTTACTGGGGAAGCCACAGTGAGCCCGTCTTACAGATGCTACCTCCGTCTGTTTGCTCCTCATGTCCTTGCACCTTGATCCTAGTAGAAGTTGTTTGCAGTGTCGCTTTGAATGTCTACTGAGATGCTTTCAATTTATCTGAGCGAGTGAGAGAGAGAAAGAGAGAGAGACTTTGTTTGTTTTGCACTGTTAATGTAATATTAGATTCTCCTTCCAGGTTTCCTCCACTGGCTGCAGTTGATATCACTGTGAAGTAATCTAGTCTGAATCTTCTCCTTTTATGCTCCGTGAGCTTCCTTCCTTGTCCTCTCGTTTAAAAGACTCTTGGTAGGCTAAGCAATAGCACAACAATCAGAACCATTTAAAATGATCCGAAATTTCTTTAAGTTCTTATAAACCAGCAAACAGCATACAAGTCTTATAGATCTTTCACATGTTTCTTTTTCATACAGACTGAATTGTTGTTATCTTCAATAATAACACACATGGGACCAAATCAGACATTCCACCCCCAATGCTGAGTCAAGACGATTAATGTTTGCAAAATATTAAGTTGCCTGTAAGGAAGATTGTGAAATCTACAGTCAATACGTCATTGAGCAGAGGACACTAAAGAAGTAGCAGTTACTTATTATCTCATGATGTTATTAAAGGGGATAGTTCACCCAAAAATTAACCTTCATTTACTTTTTCTCATGTCATTCCAAACCTGTATGACTTACTTTCTTTTATGGAAAACAAAAAAAAAAATGTTTATACAGGTGTGGAATGACATGAGAAAGTAAATGATGACAATTTTTTTTAAAAATTTTTTTTACTTACTAACTGCACATTCTTTTCACCAGGTCTTGTCTGATGGTAAAGTTATTTCTTCATTTCTTGAAAACCAAGGAATAGGGTTAATAAATGACAGTAACTCTTATGAAGATAACTCCTAATGAAGATCTTTGTTGTAAAATTAGGGCAAATTTACAGTATATTGTATTTAAAATTGCTGTTTTTCATCTGTTCATCTGTCAAAAAAGAAGAAAAAACAACAACTAACAGCCCAGCAATGCTGTCCATCTGGATAGCACGGCAGTGCATTGATTTTGTTTGTAATGACTCTACCTCAAACAAGACATAGGGCTGTAACTGCCACCTGTTTGTACACAGCCTCCTCTCTTCAAAAACACCTTTAACCGTTCGGACTTTATACAGGAACTTTTATACAGGTAGCAGCAGGAAAACTGTAGATGTCTGCACCCTCTCATCTGGTCTGGTCTGATATGAGATTTAACATTCAGTACATTACTGAAGCACAAGAGGATTTGAGAAATCACCTTTCTTACTTCCTTTCTTGTGTTATGATGGAGCTGGCGGAATTAAATGAGTTGAATTTGCTGTGTTTTTAGTAGATGCTGACCCTTTTCCCAAGCTCAGTTTCTGTTTTTGACCCAATGCTAATAAACTCGTCATTGCTGGCTTTGATCGTTGTGTACACTGGAAAGTAGGAAACACACTGGGAAACTGCTGTACCAATAAAAAGGCATAAAGTTACCAGGGATCAGTGAAGTGTTTTCTATTTTCCAACTGTACCATTTTTTTTTCTCATTTTAATTTGAAGTAGTGGAGCGTTGAAGAAATGTGATGAATCAGCTTTTATCTTTCGCACAGTCTGTCACTTTCTGCTATTCCATTTTGTTTATTACATTTAAAACAAGTCTTAATCCAGGTTAGAAGAGTTAGAAGAGTGCTGTTTATTGGAATGTTTCGTCTTTTGCAACTTTTCTCTTGTTTTTGCTTGGTTGTGAGCCCTAAGATTTTGAATTGCTGATATTTTTTGATTGCTGTGTTAAAAAAGGTTTGATTGTGAAAGTTGTGGGATACTTATTTTTTTGAAAATGGTTGAAGTATAATGCAGATTTTCCCCTTTTTAACTTTTATGTTTATTCATCATTATAATTAATGATTTACTGTTTATATGGACACACTTTTCTGTTTAAAAAACTTTTTTTTTAATTGATTGATAAATTCTCCATATTTATTTTGAAAAAGCATCTATATATATATATATATATATATATATATATATATTATAAGTGTGTCAGTGTGAACACCATTTAGTGGGAAAAATCTCGGGACATTTTCCCGTCTCTTCACCTCTTTGTGGTCGATTTAAAGAAACGTCACCAGCAATTCAAATTGGACAATGAAGTGGTGTTTTATACATAAAACAAAATTATGTCCTGTGTCATCTATTGATGTTGTATTGATGTTAGTGATTTAAAAATAAATCAGTTAGCAGTCTGCCATGTTGAGGAAAATGTAAAATACAGAATCAGTCATCTTTTCTTTCTTTGTGTGAGTGTTTTTACAGGAGTCTTTCTGTAGCTGGATTCTGCAATGTCAGTGATTTTTATTTCTGTACAGTAGTACTGCCCTCTTCCATTCTCTGTAATTGATTTTGATAACTTTTGATGTGCAAGACAATAAACAAGTGAATGAATATATTATAAATAACATTTATTGATGACTAACAGATATTTTTTGACTTACTGAGCTAATCAAAATTAGGATTCAAGTCTATAATTTGTCCTATTTGTTAATAATAAGGACTATTATTATAATAGGGATAATATTATTTTTTTACATTATACAATATTACAGGATAATATACAACCAATCTGTGGTGAAAGGTAATACAAATAAAATATTATAATAATATTATATTTAAGTAGTAAAAAGCCCTGATTTTACAGCAAGTTATTTTTTATTTTTTTTTACAAATTATAATCAAATAACTTCTATTTGTTACAACTTTTTAATGTAAACCAATTTTAGTGTTGAAAATAATTTCTAAATATAAACAGCAAACTTAATTTGAAAAACTTGCATTATAGAGCTAATGTTTTACCAATATGGTAATTTTTTGCACATATTTTGTCTTCTTGTTTAAGTTTCATAGGTAAGACATGTCTAAGGTTATGCAGGTAGGGTCCAAAGATGAGACAGCAAGTTTTAAAGTTGAGAGCAGAGAAATACAAACACACACACACACACACCGCATATTAATTATACTATATATATATATATATATATATATATATACTTGCAAGTTGCAACAAGAAATTGGTTGGTTTGGACACTCGTTAACACTAGCAACTGCACAGGAAAAAAATCACCTCTTATTATTTACTTGGTTTATGATTTTTTGTTTATTTATCTTATTATGTATATTTATCTTTATACATAATATTGGGTGTGGCTTTCGGTTAAGGGGCGTGGTTTTCGCAACTGGTCCAGTAGTAAGTATTTTTTACAGTCTATGGTAGTACCGTCACACTGGTATTTTATACTTTTTGCAGTTCCAAACATATAGACTACAGACTACAATTATTAGCCATCATCATCATTGACCATAGGTTCCAAACGGCAACATTATGGTACGCAACTGATGCAAGTGCCCTCCAACTCAGTTTCAAAATCCCCACTTCAAGGCCTCTGCCCAGCCTCTGCCCATCGAGTATGGAATGCCAAAGCTGACTTAATTAAAAATAAATAAATATACGAAGAAATGTAAAAAAGCAAAAATACATAAATAAATACAGAAATAAATATATAAAGAAATGTAAAAAAGTACAAATAAATGAGTATTTATACTTCTATTTCCTTATATATGTATAATTGCATTTTTTCACACACTTATTTATTTATTTATTTCTACATTTATTTATTTCCACTTTTATTTATTTTTTACATTCATTTATGTATTTATGTTTTTATGTCTACATTTATTTATTTCCACATTTATTTATTTATTCCAACATTTCTTTGTCTCAGTGATGAAATGTGGAAATAAATAAATATAGAAATAAATAAATGTGAAAATAAAGAAATGTAGACATAAAAACATAAATGCTGAAATAAATGTGGAAATAAATAAAAGTTGAAATAAATAAATGTGTAAATAAATAAATGTGTGGAAAAATACAATTATACATAAATGTGATAATAAAAGTATAAATACTCATTTATTTGCACTTTTTTTTACATTTCTTTGTATATTTATTTATGTATTTATTTATGTATTTTTGCTTTTTTACATTTCTTCGTATATTTATTTATGTATTTATTTATTTTTAATTTAGTCAGCTTTGGCATTCCATAATCGAGGACATGGAGCAAGGACAGAACAAATGACGTCTTTCGAGATGACGTACGTGGCGTCATCATCGGTAGACCCACAATTCAACTCGGCGCGCGAAAGCTGACTGAACTGAAGTAAACAACATAAGAGTGCTGCAGATCGATCGTCGACTGTCTAGTCTGAATCTGAATTAACAATGAGCAAAAAAGACAGTTCAGGTACGCGATGTTTCTTTAACTTACACGAGTGAACGTGTTATGCCTTATTTGGTTGTAATTGTATTACGTTAATGATATAGGACTAACGTTCCGCAGCTAGAAAATAATCATCTATAATACATTCGAGGATTTGCATCTCTCTCTCTCTCTCACACACACAGGTGTCGCACAGATCCTCGCTTACCTCAATGAGAAAAACAGACCCTATAGTGCTCAGGATGTTTTTACCAACCTACAGAAGCAGTGTGGTCTGGGTAAAACGGTAAAAAGCAACATTTCGGATCAAACACTTTTGTCCAGTTTTGTTTTGATGACATCTGTCCAGCAGTTTGTGATACCTAAGGAGCTCTTTGTGATATTCACTGTATTTGTTAAATGTGGTCATTTGTGCAGTTGTTTAATTGAGTGTACTGTATGATCACTATTGGCCACTCACTATTTTGTTTTCACTGCATTTACACAGGCTGTGGTCAAAGCCATGGATCAGCTTGCCCAGGAGGGAAAGATTAAAGAGAAAGTCTATGGAAAGCAGAAGATCTACTTTGCGGACCAGGTCGGTGTGATACCGTTTTATAAGAGAACCAGTGTTTGTGAATCAGCCTGACAGATGTCCCTTCTGTTCCTTCAGTCTCAGTTTGGAGATGTGAGTGATGCTGAACTTAAGAAGATGGACAGTCGTATTGCGGAGATCAGCACTGAAGTACAGACCATCTCACAGAGCTGCAGGCAGCTTGATACAGGTGTGCACTTAAATTGTGCTGCTGGGAAAAGACGAATGGTTTGAACTTGTGCACAGATTGTCAGTGTTTGATTAGAAAGTTCACAATTTTGCCCACAGAGCTTAAGGAGTTGAACAGCTCATTAACCACAGCAGAGATGAAGGCACAGATCCAGGAGCTACAGGCAGAGTGTTCTGGGTACAGAGAGAGGCTGGATAAAATCAAGTCAGCTACAAACCATGTGACCCCCGAGGAGAGGGAGAAGGTTCGAATTCACTGTGCTATTTACTGTCTGCTGATCCTTTGGCATTTGCTTCTCAAATGCACAATGCAGGATCTAGTCAGGGATAGGGCTGCACGATTAATCACAATTAACATGAATTTGTGCTTAAACCGATTTGGTTTATTGCGATTATGAATTGCAAAGGCTGCGATTTATTTGATTTACGACTCTATGATGATGATACATTTTATTTTTAGCAACATGCTTTTTTTTTTTAAAGAAATAACTATCATTCAAAAATTTGGGATCAAGAAGTAATATTTTTAAAATAAATCAAGTTTTTTATTCAGCAAGGACTCAATAAGTTGATCAGTTGATATTGTATAAAGACATTATAATGTGACAAAATTCCTATTTTAAATAATCAAAAATCTATTGAACTTCCTATTCATCAAACAACCTGAAATAGTTGGAGTTGATTAGTTTATGTATGTGTACTGTAGATAAACAAACAATTTTTTAACCTTGATAATAAATGTTTCTTGAGCTTTGCCAGTACATGAATAAATTACATTTTAAAATACATTAAAATAGTCCCTTTAAATTGTAATATTTCACAATATTACTGTTTTAATGCATTTTTGATCAAATAAATGCAACATTGTTAAGCATAAGATGATTCTTTCAAAAACATAAATCATTCAATCCCCAAACCCTTGAATGGTAGTGTAGTATATTTCAAAGTTTACTTTACAATAAAAAAAACCCCTAACGTTTCTGTAATATTGTAATTCCATAACAGCTCCAAATTCTTAGATGCACTTTTGCAGAAAAACTGTGGCATGTGGTGGAAAACATTCTCAAATGCTCTGTTCACAAATGCGTCGGTCCAAATCTGATTATTTGTGTATCCGATTGCAATCTGATCTAAATGATTGACTGTCCACATTTTTGTTTCGCAACCGATTTTTATGTCCATATATGAATGTAAATCGAAACGGATTTGTCAAAATCTATTTCATGTCTATTTGCCGTTCACACTTGCTAAATCTGATCAGGTTTCAATCGGATAAGCACAAAAATCGGATTTGGACTGACAGTCTGAACGTAGCCAAAGTCTGTTTCGACATCTTTCACCTTATTGACATTTGAATTAGCTGATTCTACAACAATTTTCAATACATGACAGAAAACCAAGTGTTAACATTAGCCAGCCTTATACATGATTAATGAACTCAAAATGTAGTGCCGAATCATTGCAAATGAATGTTCCATACACCGACCTGAATCTCTCCCACATTTGCCCCAAGCCAACTTCATTATTGAGGATTGCCCATTAAATAATTTTTTGCAAGTAATTCAAAAAGACCAAACTAGTGCCTTCTAGCATATCTGAAATATGTTTAATTAATTAGTTGAAGTTTATTAAAATAATGTTGCTGTCTTGAGGCAGTCAACAATATATTATGCTTATGTTGCTGACAAATGTATTTCTTGGCCTCCAGGTTTCCAAGGAGCGAGAGACTTATGTGAAAGAGTGGAGGAAGAGAAAGAGAATGGTAATGATCCATAAAAACATCTATTTACAAGTTAAAATTCTACCCAGGAGACAAAATGCCAGCTAATGTTTAATCATACCACTGTAAGGCGTGCCAACAGTTCAGTGATTAACCATTAAGATCAGTTGGATTAAGTGTTGGTCAAATGTATTTATGCAAATCAGATGAGAAGCATTTCAAAAGTATTGTTAGCATTGCATTGTGAAAAAGTCAATTACTTCATGTGAAAGGTTTCTTTGATGACACTGATAAGGTGTGGTGGAAAATGTTAATGTGACTTTTTGATGATCTGCTATGAGTTTTTTTGTGCTAACAGTTGTGAGGTTTTACAACATACTTGCGATGAAAAAAAAAAAAATGTACGAATGGAAACTGCACACTGGTATCAACTGAACAGTCCTAGCAAACAATACTTGATAGTGCTATATAACCTCCTACACTATACAGACATTTAGCTTGAAAGGTTCTTGTGCCCTGAAATGAAACTCCTAGCACAGCTTTTGAGAATTTTTTTTGTCCTTTTACCTTCCAGGTTTCTGATATGGTTGGAGCTATTTTGGAGGGGTATCCAAAAAGCAAGAAACAGTTTCTGGTGAGTCATTACTGGCAAATGAGAAATATTGGAACTTTCTCAACATGTAATTTTAAAAAAAAAAAATTGTATCATTGTTAATGTTGCCTATCTGAGTCGTCCCTTTTCATCTTGTGTGTGTGTGTTTGAAATCAGGAGGAGGCTGGGATTGAAACAGACGAGGACCATAAAGTGACAATGCCCAACATCTGATGGAGGACTCACTGTTTAAATTCAGATGCTGTTGCTGGGACGCCAGACTTTTGGAAAGGTTGGAAAGTAACAGAGAATTCTGTGACGGCAAGATAACTGTTTTGTTAAAAAGCAATTCTATTTTTTAAAAGTTATGTTGAAAAAGAAAGAACAAAAGCTGTACATAAGTTTGAATATTGTTTATTTTTCGATTAAAAGTATACTGATACAAAAATATTTCAACCAGATTCTCTCACTGGAGTCTAGTTTAACATGACTCGTGTCTTAACTTGTAAAGAAGTCCCTTATTCCAGCACAGGTCAAACAGTTGATTTGTACAATCATCTGTTATTAAAAAAAGATCTCGATACATAAAAATAATCTGTGTCCTGAGTAGACTTCGATTCAAATTTTTGTCACGTCTAAATTAACATTCATTAAAACACAAATAGAATTGGGCGGTCACACCATGTGAAGTTGCTACCCCGCATGAAAGCGACTGTGCCTTCAATGATAGCTTATGCAGCACAAAACATGCTGATCACAAGAGCTCAAACCATTAACATAAATGTAGAATAAAACACTGGATATTATTGCGCGACACACAGGTGATTAAAAATGTACATAAAATGATTTGAGGTTTATCTTCCATTATTTCTGCTTTGACACTGCAATCTTTGGTCACAGCATCCCTAAGTACAGATGAATAAAGATGGCTCAGCCTGGCATAACTTTAAATATATTAAAGCATGTGGGACAGCTGTTTTTGGATGTAAAATCCAACTGATAGTGATGCATCACAGTGTAATTAGACCTCTCAGCTCCCCTTTCCAGCACTAAGCTCTTCTCAATGGTGAAAATGTTGCTTGTTGTGCTTTGGAAAACGACTTAAACATGAGGTAAAGATGATAACTGAATGCAGCACGCCAAACATAATCATTCAAAGGCAACTGAGATATCTCACACCTCAGCACTTGGTGTGTAATCGGACAGCTGGGTATTCCTCATATTTGTGGTTGACTTGTGAAAATCCAAATACTGATGAAACTGTTCTTGTTTTAGATGAAACAAGTACATATTTTTAAACTTTAGGAGTGAGGTGTGTTTTGAGAACAATTAAACAGAACTTGCATGATAGGTGAATGGTGTATGAAGAAACAGAACATGACATAACAAACATGTTTTCCCCTCTTACTAGAGGAAAACCTCTTACTCCTTATTAAATTATTACATTTCCACACGTATTGATTGGAATCAATGCTATAAACACTTCACAAAATCAGTCAATACTTGAGCAAGCGCTGCTTCATCTCTTCAGAGTTCTTGAGTGCACCCCAGTCCAGTAGTGTGTGTCTGTGTGTGAGAAAGAGACTCTGTTCTTGAATGAGAGGTTAGCCTGAAGGACAGACAAATTGCCAACTTCAGTACAGCTGACTATTCACCTGCTGCAGCACAGTCACCACATACTCTCTCAGCGTCTGTCAACGATACAGAAAAACATGGTCAGTCAGGGAGTTTCAATGTTGATCTATGCCTGTGCCAGTGAATGACAGAAAAACAATTAAGCTTTCTGATCATAAAAAGAGCAAGTTTGTGTAAATGTCTTATAAGACTGTATAAGAGTGATTCTTCAACTAGGGGGCCTCAAGATGACTGATTTAAAATTAGCAAAAACAACACCAAACATATTATTTCTTATTTAAAGGGGTCATGAACTGACTTTTTACATTTTATTACATTGTTGTCTGAAGTCAGCTTACGACGTTCACTTGGTTTTTACATTAAAAAACACCATAATGAATAAGTAATGCGTTCTTTTGTTCTCTAATTTAGAGCCTAGCTCAAACGAAATCTCGCAAGACTATTCAACATGTTGAATATTTACGATCAGAAATCCTGATGTGTGGGGCGGATCCCAGAGGACAAACGCATGCACGCTCTGGAGATTATCACATGAAACGAAACAATATCAATATAAACAATATAATTTTGTTTTGTTTTTTCGTAAATTTTCTGTGAAAATCATTCCCAAAACTATCATCGCAATTTTTTTCCAGCATATCCTTTGCCATTCTGAAGTCTTGCGAGATTTCCTTTGTTAACAGTTGAGACTCAGTTGAGACTGGTTGAAAATCTGTTAGTGTGTGGTGTGCTGTCTTTATCACATCATGGCACACCATGTGTGTGTGATCTATCACATTTTGAAAGTCTTATAAGATGTAAAAAATCTTTTGGCGTGTACAGCGCATGACTCTGTGTGCGCTTCAATGAAAACAGCACATTAATATTGAACGGTGATTCAACTGACTTGGAACATTATTGCACACCTTCCAGATATCAATCGAGTATTCAGTATAAATTATATTTTATAAATATACTTTTGTCGTTATATCAAGTTCTAAAATATTTTATCAAGTAGAAATTGTAAAAACTATTTTTTTTTTAATTCTTAATCCTTATCAGTAAATCAGAATCACTGGAAAAGTCATGGGGCTTTTGAATATTGTTGTGGACAACGGCGGCCCTTGGAGTCAAAAATGTTGAGAGCCCCTCTGCCCTACAAAGCAAAAAGGCAGTAACTACGCAGAGTGCAGAACTGAGAAAAATGACTTTTGCTAGGGTTTTTTGCACTTACTGTACAAACGACTACCATTATTCTCTAAAACGACACACATTTAAGATAAGATGTTTTGTCATATAACAAAGGATGAAAATTGTAATTATTAATGCTTTACCAAAACTGCAGTTACTGCCTTTTTGCTTTGTAGGGCAGCCCTGCTCTAAGACACATTCAAGACAAAATGGTGTTGTGCATCTCATAATTCAGCAGTGAATAAGCCTCAAATGTGTGCTACCTGTGGCTTGCAGTGTTCCTCGATCCAGCTGAAGACGCAGGCAGAGAGATCCTGAAAGTTGCTGACTGACACTGCAGCATTGAAGGACTGGAACAGAGAGTCCATGATGCTCTGAAACACGCTGAACTTCACCTGATCTGAAACCTGCTCGCTGCCCTGCTGAGGGTTATTCTGATGAGCCTTCACAATGTGCTCATAGTTCCTGAAACAAACACCACAGTGTCTATTAGGCCACATTTTAGATGGTTCAAGTGACCCAATTCTGATTTTTTCCCCCTCCCATGTGGCACAGATCGGATATTCCCGTCAATGTGAGTTATGTCATTGAAAAAGCGTTGATGGCGAATGACTCTGCTGGTCACCAACTGCGATCACATGACTCTTTTCAATGGTGCAATGGAGGAAGAAGGCTCAACCCAGTGGAGTCATGCTGAAGTTTGTCTTTTAAGCCTTTGGAACAACTTCTAAAGATGGTGCAGAAAGCGAAAGCTCGTATTATCATTTCGCCTGCATCCATTGCAAATCACGCCATTTTAATTTCCTTTGATATCTGCATTTACGCCACACACTTGGCCCAGAAAAGCTTGGGTATAAGAGTCACCTTTAAAAGATTTAAAGCAAAACCCTGACTTTTTGGGACTTAAGCTTATTCACCGTAAATGTCATTTATTGGGGGCAGTATACTAGCTGGATAGGCTAATGGTGAGTGCGTCAGACAGAGTTACAGCACGGATGGAGATGAAAAGCGTGTGTATGACTATGGACTTATCTAACTCTGGGGGATACAGTGAATTAGTCCCAAAAAGTCAGCATGTTCCTTCAAGCTGGTTGTAAACTTGTTTCGTCAACAAATTGGAACCGCCAATCAAGACCTGAAGTATAATTGCGGCCTTAGTGGTCACATTAGTTTGTTTGGTTGTTTATTAAGTTTTTAATGCCATGTCAGCATCAGGGATGTTTGTATGGCAACCACAAGGTCAATATCACAATCCATAAAATTGTAACTATAATATAAAACATTTCAACTTGATGAGTTAGAAATTCTAAAATACATTCGGGTGATACATTCTGAAATAATTTTCTAGCATTTTCATAAAAATTACAATCCAACAGAATATGAACAGTCAACGCTTAACAGTCAACGCGAGAGACATAAAGGAGGAACTTCCACATTAGTATGTGAAGACTTCTCCCTCTCTCAAAGGTCTTAAAGGGTGTTATCTTTCTTGGCAGAAGAGTGACACTGTCAGATAAAGCCCTATGTCACCCAAAAACAGCCCCGCAGGACAATAAGGGGAACTATATTTGTCAACTTCAGCAGTTAAATATGTTTCTGGCCCCCCTCTGAATTACCAACCACTCACGTTTTCATTATTTTCAGCGCCATCACCTCCTTCCTAAGTGTGGAAACATCCTCTTCCTGCTTCTTCTTTTCTTTGTGGAGAAACTGAATGTAGTCGATTGCTGTTAAAAACAAACACACACACACACAGAGTTGCTTAGCTTTTCCATTCTGGACTAAAAGATGTTACAAGGAAATATTAATCGGCAACAATGAAGGTCCTCACTCTTCTGCAGAACTGTAGCTTTGCTGATCTTCTGTGTGGCCATGGTAAAGTCAGACTGCTGCTGGCATGTAGGCACTATAGACTGCAGGTCATCATAGCCTTTCTGTGGGATAGAGATCCAAACAGACACTTTTGAGTGATGAGCTGCATGTGTGAAGCATGGCACTGAGTACTTTTACACATGGGGAGCTCATGATACACTGTTTTTAGTGGCTCAGTTAGTATCTCTGCATCTGTTCTGAGTTTGGGTCGCTTATAACGTATTTGGGAAAACAACATGTGCCTACCACCTTCCACCATAAGCGCTTATGAACTGGCTGTTGAAAACAAAATAGAAGGGCTCCCTGTGGTTCTCTGTGTATATATATTATCTTGGTGATTTAATGTTAGAAAATTAATAAATGAAGACCATAAAAATGAGTATACAATTTAAAAACGCATCTTAAAAAGGCACTGTTCCTTTTCATTGCATCAGGCTCGCTCTTTCTCCCATATTTTAAACATAACGTGTCCCATGTTTACCCTCTCTAAACAGATTTATGAGCACCGTTGCTGCCCTGAATTGAGAGTCACCGTGTGCAGCTGCTGACAGACCAGCAAATCAAAACAAGACCACCATTGCAATATTAAAAATGAAATGTTTTGAAGTTAATGTGCTTTTATGATTGATCATAGCGTCACTTCCAAGTACTTAGGTTCCCGTGGCATCCGTAATATGAAATCAAAAAAGATTGTTTTTATGTCAGCTACTATCTTCCATGTGTTGTCTGTTACCCTGAAAACAATCTGCTATTCTCAGTCTTACCTTGATGGCGTCCCTGCGTTTCTGCTCTGCCTGTGTGTGTGCCTGTCTCCTCCGGTCTTTATAGGACTCCTTATAGGGCGTCTCATGTCTGTTGTCACTGTCTTCGTCATCTAAACCAAAGGGAAGAACAACCATCTGTTAACAACTAGTGCTCATGATTATTATCTGTCTACAGTATCAACTTTTTTTTGTATTATGATGTACATCCAAATATAACAGATATTGAAAAAGGTAAATATAGGAAAAACAAAAGAGGCAAACAAACGCTAAATGATTAGAAAGTCCTGCATGTCAGAGAGGAGATAGTTACAACATTTATTAAAAATTACAAGGTCAAAAATAAGAATAAAATGTATAGAAGAATCGTTCACAATAACGATTGACTTGAGATGCATTTAGAAAATAGATGCATTTTTGATTTCTTTTTAACTGTAACAGTGGAAAACCATCCAGAAAAGGGGAGCAATTTTAGAGCAAAGGGTATTTATCAATTAAAAAAAAAAAATGGCCATGTTTGATATTAGATGATTGCGATTTGTAGTATCATCACCTGTGTTTGGAACTGAAGAGGCACTTGTGGATCCAATGCTGTTGGCTCTTGACACCAAACTTCCTTTGCAAGCATTTTCGGCAAAGAAACCTAAAGACGTGGAAATTTAAATATGTGTAAATATATAACCTACATGTGTTACACTTTGGCTACTTAAACTACAATATTTGACTGACAGCACAAACAAAATTAGTTTGAGTTTGTCAAATCCGCCTTTTATGTACTTAAGTTTTCATAACTGTCTCCATCAAACCTATCCTGAAGTCTAACCTTCATCTTTAAAAACACAATGTAGTCTGTAACTGTGTAGTTGAGTACTCACTGTGATCAAAACCGTTGTCGCTGAAGGTGCCATCTGTCTGCTGAGACATGGTGATAGAAAGACAAACAGAAGAACAGTCAAAGCCAGCCAGACTAAACATCAGAGACCAGCCAACTATTGATCATATATGTCTGACCTGTCCTGCCTTGCCTTGCCTTTTACTAGGACACCTCTAACTCCCCACTGTGAGGTGTCCCAAATAAACCCCTTTGAAAGGTAATAGTTAATCTACATGCATAATGTCTCTCCAAACTCTCAGATTGAGCAATCATCGTCATATTGTCAAGCTGTCATTACAGCTTGTGGAAAAGAGGGCATATTTTATTCGTTGCTTATGAATATGCGGCAGGAACTGAAAAGAATAAATACAGTGAGGAACAAAGACAACTGAATCGAACCGTATCCCTCTGGAGAGTCGATTCGGTCGTTCGATGCCCAAGAATTATCGTTCTAATGTATGCTTTTTGAAAACTGTCAGAATAAAAGTCAATGTATCCAACAAGCAAATTAGCTTAGCAGATTCAACTCTTAAGTTAAACATCTGTGTCACACAGCTTCCACTCGGTTATTTTCAACATAAATGGTTATTTTAAGCACAGAACCGTTTTTTGCAGTGTTTCTTCAGTGATTTATTGTCTAAATCAACGCTAATTATACTACATTTAAAGATCACGGCCGTGGGAAGCTGTAATTCTTTTGACTTGCTGAACTTTAAGGCTAGCAAGCTGAGCTAGAAAGTGAAACCAACCGTTGCAGACTTACACAGATTAACAGAAACACACGTTACGAAATCGATTTTGAAGGAAACGGCTGTTAAAAATCACCAGACGGTCTTTATCTGAATAGACATTTTTACCTTTAGCCAGGGATCCTCCGGCGACGCGCTGTTTTCCGTCATTTTGAGATGGTCCTCACTGCAGAACATGAAATCCACGGGGAGGAGTCGGATCCAGAGATCCAACTCCTCCCACTATATATTCTTCGCCCCCACGCGCCTGACCACAACCAGTACCAGCATTTTGATGAAAGTGGTCCATTGTTTGCTCTCATCAGTGTAAGTCTACATTTTGATTACTAATATAATCGCGATAGATTAATAATTTAGTGTGTGTATTTAAGTAAATTTTTGATAGTGTTCATACTTTTTGATAACGCCGAGACATGTTTAACTAGTCCGCCAAACTGCCATCCATAAATGGTAAGTTTAGGTCGTTTTTAGCGTTAACTTGAACGTTATCACACACGTGTAGATGTGGTCTACCTATCTAAAGTAACGTTAAAGTAACGCTAGTTAGTTTAGGATAATACTGCTGGTACTGTTTATAGCTAGGGTAAGCTAACATGTGTTGTCAGTCTAGCTAACGTTACTCACTAGCCAGGATATGCATCGCTAACTTCGCAAGAAATAACCTTTGAAATGCATTTAACGTTCTTCATAGATGCACAGAACAGTGTTGCGACATGAGCAGGTTGTCATTCAGAGATGCCAGAGCTGTTGCTGTAATTATCATTGCCCGTTCTGCGGACCAAAAGTTTTCAAACCCACCACAGAACTTCACGTGGTAAAGAATCAGGTCTCCAACCACTTATCGTTGGCAGTACAGCATCAAGGCAAGTTGGCATTGATTTTATTTTTTATTCGAAATAATTTAAACGTTTTTCATTATTATACATGTTCTTAATGTTGAAATTACTGTACTGACGTTATCGTTTGCTTATTAGCCTAATTTGCTTTATTTAAGTCTTATAGTGTTGTAATGCTTGAACAACTAAATAACATATTGTTGACCTTTTTTAGCATGCTTCTTACATCAGTCTATCTCATAAGTAAAATAGTCATAATCCCAATAATACATGAATTGTTTATTTAATCAGTTATACCATACCCACATTACCACGACTTATGCCATTATGACTCAGGACATTAAGTGTTATCCCTTTATTTACATTAAAATTCATATATATTTTTTATTTATTTATTTTTCAGAATTCCTTATTGTCAAGTGCAACTTGCAGTGCAGAGTACAGGCACATTTTCACTGTTGCTACTGTTCAAAAACAGTCATAAGGAAAGTCCAGATTATAAAACATCTACAAGTATGTTCAAAAAGACAAGTTCCACCCACAGAAACTGTTGAGACAGCTGCATTCATTGAACCAGTTGCCAGCAGTGAACCAATTATTCCAAGTGAACCGATTATTTCAAATGAAGAAGTTTCCTTTAAAGAACCAGCTGTGGCTGAAGGTGTCTCCTTGCCTGTAAAATCCCTGGCTGTTCTCAAAAATGTTCGTATCCAGAAAAAAGTGCAGTGCGTTCACTGTGGAGTGACCATCAACAAGTAAAATCTTGATGTTCATGTTAAAAGAAAACACACTAAAAAGATCTGTGATGTTACAGAAAATCGTCACCTACCTTCACAGTGCATAGACCCAGTTAATGGTATATATGCAGTTGAAAAGTCATTTTACAGACCATGTTCTGTAATCCATGTCCAGAAAAAAACCTCATGTCAACATCCAGTTGTAAAATGTGAAACCGATGAATGCAGTACCAATGCAGAATTAGCCAGACGAAGTGGCTTTCAGCACTTTGAGTGTATGCATATGAAGTCGTTGCAGTTCTGTCCATGGCCTAACAGGACACCTGTTGTCCTTGAGGAAGATGTCCTGTTAGACATGATATCTGCAAATGTGTTTGGGGAACCGACAAAAACATCATGCATGGTCGCCAAGGCAGCAGCAAGTGCAGCTGGTGTTCCACTGTCTGTTGAGGTGACTATTGGAGGTCCATCTACAAAAAAATACATTTCTGTGTATGAAAACAAAGTCTCGTACTACAGTAGACTTGGTAGAGTCATTGCTTCCTATGACAGCAATCGCAACACGTGGCATTGTCCCTGTGCAAAGCCAAGAAGATCTTGTTTGCACAAAAACATAGCTAGGTGGCATCTCTTCCAGGTACAAAGGCAGTTGTTTACATCATCACCCATTGCCAGACCTGCTCAGGGCCTAGTACAAGAACATGCCTTTCAGGAAAGTACCAGATTGGAATATCCCCCCAGTGGTGAAGGTCTCAAACAAATGGTGTATTACTTGATGAAAAACAAAACACTGCCAGCCGAACTCCCCCAGAAGTACATCACAGGCTCAATGACAATCAAAGACATTCCCAAACACCTTGTGCCAAAGGAGACTGTTTGCTCAGAATGTACAGGCAATGTGGTCCTAAGTGAGCCAGTGTTGATTACTTCCAAAGGAAAGTGTATAACGTACACTGGCATTGTTGAGGGTAAGTATGAGTAAAATACCTATTTAGTGTAACATCACTGTGTTAAGCTGTCTCAATGAATATTTTTAAATTATTTAATTATTATTATTTATTTTTTTTACAGGATTTTCTACCTACTATCGCATGTGCAGCAACTGTGGTCTAAAATACCGCTATCAAGAGTGGACTGATGGTCTTCACAATTTTGATGACCATTTGCTGATGTCATTACACATGTGTGTTGTCCTGCGCCATTCACTCCAGGTTTGCTATTATTAAAGGTTTTAATTGGCTTTATGCACAGCTGCACTACTTCCTGAACTTAAGCCAGCAGGCACACCTGGATTAATCAATTTGACCAATAATGGCAGACAGGAAACAAGGAGCTGGCTGAAGTTCAGGAAGTAGTGCAGCTGTGCATAAGGCCAATTATATGGTGTTCTTTTAAATTATCTATATGCTAATAACTAATCTTGTCAAAACAGACTCATCATGCCATTAGCAGAGCTGTTGAGGTTTTGGAGACCACAGCACAACAGAAATTTCCACGAAAAGAAAAAATCCTTCATGCATATATGCATTTCGAAGCACTAACAGACCATGACTATGCATACTCCTGTGTTAAGTGCGGCTACCATCCCGCGGTTGTTGTGATGGATCTTCACAAAAAGGCGGCATTTAATATGCCTGGTAAGTCATATCAACATAAGAGCTATTAATAATATAAAAAATATTCTATAAACATGTTCTTTGTTTCATTGAGAATTTTTATTACAGTGAGTGAGATTCCTCCTCCACCACCTGAATATGACGGTCAGGTCAATTTGAAAGACTTTTGGACATCTGTGACTGCCGAAGTAGTTTGCCGCGGCCTATTGGGCAGTAAGGAGTTATTTTGTTTTTGTTAGACATACAAGTCTAGCACGTTGCATAATGGATAGCAACAGTTGTTTTAAAATAATTGCATTAAACTAAATTAGCAAGGGAAATTACCAACCAAATGTGTATATATTTTAGTTTTTATTTATTGAAATAGTACATTTTTTCAGGTGCCCTTCAAAATCCTTTTTTGGTGTCACCATCATACCACTACTGGGCTTCCTGGATTGGTCCCAACACCAGAAGAGAAGATATTGTTTTAAATACTGAGTATGCCAAGATGCACGCCCCACGACCAGCTACTGAAGATGCCGAACTTCAAATTACAGAAGAGAGGCTAGAAGAAGTGCTTACTGATCTAAAGGTAATTTTTTTTATTTTGTTTTCTACATAAACAAATCAATATATTGTTTTTTTTTTTTATTGCAACCTTGTATGTGCAGGTGGATGTGGTGCGGCGCCTTTGCAAGCAATGTGGTCTGGACCCATCAGGTTCCAAAATGGATCTTGTTCTGAGACTTAGACAGGAGATGAGAAACAGGTCATCTTATGACAAGGTTTTCCAGAAGGTTTGGGGGGCTTCCGGTAGGATTACTTTTGAGAAATATTTTAGTCCATGTAATGTGAATAGTGTTGTGTTTAACACAGGGTATTGCTGTCAATATAGTTTTTGTTTAAGACAGCTTAGAATTGTATATTAGCATAACCAAAACATATTTATTATGCTTTTTAGGGGGTTGGGCAGTCATCACATGCCCCTGTGGAGTTGTGTATTCCCTGAAGTTTCTCCTTCGGGCAGAGTCTCCGCGGGACTACGCAGATTGTCTTTTGTCTTTTAAACATTTCCCAAATGTCAATATCTATGACTTTGCAAGGGGCTTAGCCACACACACTAACCTTAGGGAGCCAGAATGTATCCCTTTCAGACCTTATGAGGGACGACTAAAAGAGCCTACTCCAGAAAATATCAAACTAGCTGTTGACGGTCAACTGAAAGTAAACCTCCTTTGGTTGTAGGAAAAGAAGGACAATGTCGATCCAGATTGTCACCCTGTTACAGGTTCAGCTGAACATTATGCGCTTTACAATCTGTTTCATGAAAATAACACAAAAGATGCCCGAGATGCACTGCGTAAAATTCAGATAGTCCCAGTTGGCAGGCTGGGTGAACAGTCAACGTGCTGAACAGCTTTTTTCTGACATGAGAAAAAACAATTACTTCAACACACTCACTCCATCTGGACACATTTTCATGATGCGAAATATACTACAGCATTACAACACAAAACAAAATAAGAAGATAGAAGATGGCATCAGAAAGATTGTACCACAAAATGCCCAGTTGCATTTAGATGTACATGGCCAAATAATAATGGGTAACTCGATTGTTTATACATTTTTATTCCTGTCATGACTTTTTCTGTTGGTTATAGTACAATTTTTGTTTTGTTTTTTGGTGCTACCAGCCAGTAGCCACACCCCTGATAGGACACCTGCAGCCACAGCCTCTGATGGGACATCTGCAGCCACACCCTCTGATGGACATCTGCAGCCACACCCTCTGATGGACACCTGCAGCCACACCCTCTGATGGGACACCTGCAGCCACAGCCTCTGATGGGACACCTGCAGCCACAGCCTCTGATGGACACCTGCAGCCACACCCTCTGATGACAGGACACCTTGCAGCCACAGCCTCTGATGGGACACTGCAGCCACAGCCTCTGATGGGACACCTGCAGCCACACCCTCTGATGGGACACCTGCAGCCACAGCCTCTGATGGGACACCTGCAGCCACCAGCCTCTGATGGGACACTGCAGCCACCACCCTCTGATGGGACACCTGCAGCCACAGCCTCTGATGGGACACCTGCAGCCACAGCCTCTGATGGGACACCTGCAGCCACACCCTCTGATGGGACACCTGCAGCCACAGCCTCTGATGGGACGG